AAGATGTTCCATCATCGACATCAATCCAAATTTTCAGTCATATGAACTCGAGAGTCAAGACAAATTCATACACTAGAAAAGTTGCCATATGACAATTTTAATTTTTTTTTTTTTGAGTAAACTTTATTAGTTAAGAGGGGATTTACAAATGTCATAAGTTGCCATATGACATCTACTTACTTTCCTAGATTACTCAGGAAGAAGAAAAATGAAACCAAACATAAAAAGATAGAAATAAAAAACCTTGGGAATTATTGAAAAGTTTACTCCTACAAGAAATTTAAATTTGACTGGAGATTTTACAAAGAAATTTTTGTGAATGCAAAGATTATCTTGAAAAATAATTTTGAAAGTAAATCATCCCTGAATAGGCAAAGGAGGTTAATAAACCTCGATTTTAAAAAATTAACATTGTTGATTGTGATTTTATTTATTCTTTTTTTTTATTGTACTTAGTGGTCTACAAAAAGGAACAAAAGGCATGTATCAAAGAAGATGATTTAATAAGTGAAAATTTTATTTCATATGGTGTGAGACAATCTAATTAGGAGTGGTTCATAAAGTCAGCATGAGTTTGGCATTTATCCCTGGCACTGCAATGTCATTGTTCATGCATGATGTGATTCCGATTCTCTCTCTCTCTCTCTCTCTCTCTCTCTCTCTCTCTCTCTTCACTATAAAAGAACCTTCAAATGCTTCTCCTATATATATGAATTATGAAGAGAAATACTATTAGCAATCCCAATGAAAACTGCAATCAGCTATAATATTTCAATGGATAGATATTAATAGATCTGTCCAAGTATTCCCAGCAGCCATCTTCTATGAAAGTTTCAAATATCCAATTCTTATAAACAACATTGTGATCCCAGTAGTGTAACAAGCAACTATGAATATGTTTCCACATCAATTAACATATAAAAATTACAAATATGAACCAGTATGTTGTGTTACTGAAGCTGAAGTTTCAATCATTAATTGATCAACATTTGGAAACAGATGATCACCAATATAAATCAGAAAAATCTAAAGTTTGTATCACTTCAAAAGATCATGAGGCTTAAAGTCTTCAATAATAGAGAGTGAATATGACTTGGAAGGTTTAGCCACAATGGAACATATAATCAACAAGTTTCACAGAGAAACCTTGTTTCAAAAGACATTATGGACTGTTGACATAGATGTCTTTGCATTTGTACATTAAGAGGAAAAAACCTAAAGCATTAAGGTTCATACATTAGTTTCTCTTGATTCTTGCCCAAACAAAATTCTTGTGTGACAGATATACAAGTCTTAAGCCAATAAGTCTCTATAATCTTTTAAATCATTAAGCCAATAATATCCAATTCAAGAGCAACACCACGTATTCACAACCATCCAGATCCCAAAAACCTGAAGGCAAACGGGTCATAATTGAATAATTCGAATAAAACCTAATTTACAGATGTCGAATCAAGAAATGCACAGATCGATCTCGATCCAACATTGCCACAAATAACGAGACCCTAATCAAGAACATTAACAAACAAAGGAAGGGCAGAGAACAGGATTGGTGGAACAAGAACATGAGGAAGCCTGATCTCGGGTTTCAAGAAGAAGAACAAAAGTAAACAAAGAACGTAGATCGACCTGGTAGGTGTTGTCGAACTTGTCGTACATGAAGCGGGTGATGATGCTCGTCTTCCCCACGGACTGATCGCCCAGGAACACCAGCTTGTACTTTGCGAGCGCCGACACCGGGGCCATGATGATCCGTCCGAGATCGAGACGCGAAGAAAGAAGCAAAGGAAATCGAGATCTCAAACGAAAACCCCTTGTTGTATATAGTATCCCTTTTCCTTGGCAATTATTGTTTCCGTTTTATTGGCCGCGAGCAGCGAAATGCGTCAAAGCGCGTCGCTTGTCGAATTTGTTGTTCCGCTGGAACAGTTTTAGGCACGGTGGAACTAGGAAGAAGACAAAGGTGCTGCTCGCCTGTCTGATCCCGGCCAGGGTTCGGAATTTGTTAGTGGGGCACCCACCTGGAAACTCTGAGCATATAACATACATCAGTGATATGATTCCATCTGCGCCGTCCATATGAAACGTTTTTAACATCAGTATAGGGTTCTCCTAAATGACGAATGCGAGATTCGAACTCATAATCTTAGATAATTTATTATTTATTTTTAGATAATTTAACTAAACAAACTTTTAATAATAAAGTTTTATCATATGATACCTTCATGTTTTTTTTTTAACTAGGATTGTCCCTTTTTTAAATCAGGATCAAAATATCTTTTATAGAATTTTAAAAAATATCCGATATTCGTTAATCCTTGTTGACTCTGATTTTAATTGAATCAATTTGTTTGACTTAAATTGGAATTATTAAAACTCTAAGTTTTTAATTTATTATTATTATGGCCTAGATTGCTCCTTTTTTTTTTTTTCCTCAAATCATTTCTCTACCCAAGAGCAAGGTGTTGGTGGTGGTGTTGTTAACGTCTGCTTCCTACAAACAAGTTGTCGCTAGAAAGAAGAGGAAAGGGGGTCATGATTATCATCGGCAAGGGATAGGAGGTGGATATTGCCTTCCCACTGATAGTACATGGGTTTTCTTATTGTTCACCTTTCTATGACTTGATTAGGCATCGAGGCTCCATAATCAGCATAGCTATGCGTGGTTGTCACTATCGATGAAGCCATATGTTGAGCCTCAGCGATTAGGTGGGCAATAGAGCTATAGCATAACTGTCGCTAAAGTCCTAGGAGGTGCAAATATCCTTATTCCTATTAATTGTTATCGCCTTCAAGGAAAACTTGTGAAGCCTTGGTGATTAACGATTTATCATTCAGTGTATCATGAATCATTCGCTACAATAATAACAAAATGTATAGTATTAAATGAATACATATTTGTAGTTTAGTATTATTTATTTGAATGACATTTAAGTATATGATATTTAATCATCTTCCAAATGAATTATTTTGTTTCCTAGATGACAAACACTTTTAATGAGACATAATCTTTGTTGATATCAAAATTAAAAGTAATTTTAAATAGTCATCCAATACTAGACCAAGTTGAAGGATCTATTTCTATACAACTTCAAACATCAAACATACAACTTCAAGAATCTTCTTCTATACAACCTCAAATTTACAATTTTGATTTGAACAAGACATTTGTAATGGATGACAGTGAATATAGTTATGAGATATTTGAAGAAACGTCCATTGAGTAAAGAATATCAAACAAATTTAAATATAACATGAGTATAATTTTAATAATTACACTCCAAACCTATCGAAACTTCTCTATAATAATTATAACATAATTCTAAAATGTATACTATCATTTTTTTCTAATTTATTTTTAATTTTACATGATTTACAAAATTATTCTTTAAAAAATTATTTTTATACAATTGAAGCACCCTAAATTCTTGGTTTCTTATGTGATTTACATTTTAGAATAATTCAAAGCAAAACTTTGCTCCAAATTTTGAAATAAAATTATAATTTGTTAATAGCTTTAAAAAATATATATTAATTTAATTAATTATTAATATTTATTATATTAAATAAACATACAGGATGCTCAAATATGAATTCGAACATAAGACATAATACATAAGCAAATTATTTTAACCATAAGAATTGCAGAGTAAAGATTATATGCTGCTTAGATTAACTCGGAAAAAGAAGGAATTCATACAATCCCTATAGAGTTACCAATGAAATTGAGTTTATTTTTCTTCTGAATAGAGAGGAAAATGGATGGTGGCTTTTGCTGATCATTCTTCTTCTTCTTCTTCTCATTGAGTCACTGCAAGCGTGCAGGTCAATTGGCACACAGCAGCAACCTAAAGAGACAAGTCTTTCTTCGCTTGGCCCAAATAACAGAGGAAATGAAACGCAATTAGCTGCACAGCAATCTGCATCGCTGTAGCAAAATAGCATTATTCGCTAACTCTCAGTTACTACTTGTTTCTTTTCCTTTTGTTTCCTTCGGTTGTGAGCGACGACGGGATAACAACTGTGGTCATATTTTGACTTAGAAATCTTAGTCAAGATAGGAGTTTCCATCATAATTAGAATCAAAGATTTAATTTTATCTTTGCATAGATAAAGAACTGATGATTGAATAGCTTAAAGACATGCAATTAAAAGGGGAGATGAACAATTGAAGATCCTCTGTTCCGATCTATGATTTCAACAATGTGGCGATGGTGGTCACAGTGCAGTGACTCTGCCACAGGATTGCTCCAAGACAGAGATGTTTGATGACTGCTCCAGCTTCATCTTCCTCTACAAGTGGTAGCTGTTACATTCCCCTCATTGTCAGTCAGCGTCATTCAGCTCCTTTGCTGATGCTGCTGAACCTATTCACCTTCCTACAGGATCTAATGATACATATATATATATTGCTTGACCTCATGGGGATTCAAGATTTCTCAGTGAGATCTGTGTGTGGCACCACAACCTCCTCACTGCTTCGACGCGTTCCGCTTGGCGTGCACCGGCGAGAGCTCCATTTGGCTTGCTGCGTTTGTGGTCGCAAACCATCAAAGGGCCGTTTAATGTACGTCTAACGCGACGACAAGAAGCTAGCGGCCATTTACGAGCAGAAGAGACAAATTAATGGGGATGTGTCTGCGACTGTAGCGGCATAGCCTTCTCGTTCATTCAACAGCGAGAAGAATTGAATGTGGATGGCTCACATTCATCAACCCCAACTCTCATGGCACGAGTACACAGGTTCAACTTCAATGAGCGGCAGGTGGCCAGGCGCAGGGCAAGAAGAGCAGGGAGTAATGGGGGGCATTAAATCTGCGACTGCAGCGGCTGTTGCCTCCGCCCTCCCCCCACCCCCTTCGTGATCGCTCGACACCCATGAGCACTGTGCACAAACACGTCCACGCAACGAGAGCGGAGAGGTATATGTATCGGGGAAGCACGCTCTCGGGAACCAGCGACAAGTCACCACAGTAATAATTCCCAACATCCACAAAACATTTCCAAGGAAATCGCTTTTGTTTTTGTTTTTTGTTTTTTGTGCTGCTTACATCGGGGTGTGGGTCCCGCTGGAAGATCTCGGTTCTGGGCCGTCTGATCATAGGGTAATATTGTGAATAGGGAGAAAGGTTCGTGGGTGTTTTGGTAATATGGTGGTATTCGAAATAAGCTTTGGTGGCGGCACCTGAGGAGATCGACGGGGGAAGAAGGTGGGGGTGGGAGACGGGGTGGGAAATGACGGCTATGCCCCGATCAGCCACCGGTAAAAGCCGTAGTAACCACCCTCCTCCGCCTCCCGCCGGGCGCTCCCCTCCAGATCCCACGAGTGCCGCCCCACGGAGCCGCCGCCGTCTTCGTCGTAACGGCAGCTCCACCGGCCGGAGAAGCGAAGCGATGAGAACGACGACGACGCCGACGAGGCCAGCCGGTCCACGTACTCCTTCAGCCACCTTCGCCCTCCCCCCGCCGCTTCAGCCACCTCCTCCCCCGGCGCCCCCGGAGACGCGTCGGCCGCGCTGTCCCCTGGCTTCACCACCTTCTCCGACCGCCTCGCAATCCGCGCCACCACCGCCTCCACCTCCTCTTCCACCAGGAACTCGAACGACGACCCTATCGAGTACGTTCTCAGACTCGGTGGCAGCGGTGGCGGGTTGTTCCCAGATTCTTCCCCCGAGGAAGTCCTCCGGTGACTGACGCTGCCAATCTCGATCCTAAAGCTGCCGGATCTTGAGGTATCCCGGTCGACGGCGACTGGTGGCGCAGCCGATGACGGCGGCACCTGAAGGGGCGGGATGGGGAGGGCGATGGAGGCGCGGCAGAGGGGGCAAGAAGGGGTGTTCCTTAACCAGGGTTCGACGCACGACGAGTGGAAGGCGTGGCGGCAGGCAGGGAGGAGGCGGAGTTCGTCGTGAGGGCGGAACGGGCAAAGGCAGACGGCGCAGTCCGGCGAGGACTTGGGGAGGGAGGCGAGGGCGGAGGCCAGCGTGAACACGGGGAGGGAGTCGATGAGAGCCGCATTCTCCCGATCGGAGAGGGCGGAGTCGGCGGCAGCAGCGGAGGAGCCCGAGGCGGAGCGCGAGCGGGCGAGAGACACCGACAAGGCAGTGACGGCGGAGGAAGAGCGGCGTCGGAAGGAGAGGAAACGGAGGAGGAGGTGGATGGAGAAGGAGGCGACGATGACGAAGGCGATTATGGCGGCGATGATGAGAAGGCTCGGGCTGAGAATTCCCATAGGCGAGGGGTGGGAGGCGATGGAGGGCTGGCGATCGACCTCCACCGCTGACATCCGGGGTCCAACCGCCGGCGCCTGCGGAGGCGGCGGCGGAGCTGGAGGAGGGGGAGGCGAGTCCATGGCGAAGGCGGGGAGAGAACCAGAGAAAGGTTTCTTTTGTTGCCTTATATATATTCTAACTCTCTCTCTCTCTCTCTCGCTGTAGTATATGTTATTAGTTCTCATCTGACACAATTTCTATTAAAAATAAAAAATAATGGAACAAAATTTTTTATGTATATTTTTAAATATTTATCATATATAAATATTATATAACTATGATCACTAGACATTTATAATAGCATTCAAAAACATATCTCAGTAAATATAATAAATTTAAGTCTTAAAATAATTTTATTTCCACTATTTTTTTCTTCAAGTTCCAACTCTATCTTTCCTTTCTTGCTATCTTTTATAAAATCAAAATATTCATAAGAATTAACACATAACAACAACATTAGTAATAAATCATACTATTCTGACTACTTGAGATCAACTATGTGAAATTGAGCTCAGTAAAAAATATTTCATATATATATATATATTTATAATAGAATTAAATAACTACAAGTTGACTGTTGGAAGTCTTTGCAATCTTCCAAATGGATTTATTTCTTTCTAAAAGCACTTGCATGACTTTTGGAATCCCCTAGGGTTTCAAAACCCTATTTCCCTAGGTAGCATGACAAAGAAAAGATGTTTTTGAGTACCCTTGAGCAGAATGGAAAAGGTAAAACCCTATTTCTCATATGAGCAATTTCTCCCTTTCTTCCATCAGTTGGTTTGCTTCTGTTGATTGATTCACATTATAGGGAGCCTTTAACTCAGAAAGTTGATAGACCTCCAAAATCTATGGTGGAAAGCCTGAAATGGATCATTGCTAGATCTCAGTTTTATTTACTGGAACTCATTATATGCTGCAGCATTCTCCATGATGTACATTTGAATCAGTGACAGAAGGCATTCATTCAGCTCTGCTCCTAGCATTAAGTAGCATTATGAGAGCAGAATAGTTTTCTTGTGCAGGAAATACCAGTCCAATTATAATTCGTGTGTTTAAAAGAGGAATCAATGGATGAAACAAGTATGCTTTGTGTGGCAAACTCTGGATAGATGATTGCATGACAGGAGCACTAGTAAGCGTGAAAAGAATCCTAGGCAGATCACAAAGTTTCAGGAACAGTGACACTTTGTGTTGGATGGACCTCTAACAATTAATTCATCCGAATGATAAGTTTGTATACTCCATTATGGAAGCAAGAAGAAAAAGCAGCAGACATGTCTGTTCTGATTGATGGAGGAGTTTACTGGTTAAACCAAGAACAGCACTGTATGCTGCAGTAGGTGGGGCACTCAACATTGCATCTTGCAATGGATCACAAACAATATTCTCATCACATAAAAAAAGTCCACAATTTTCTTCTTCCTGAGAGAGGGAAAAGCCAAGGAGAACAAAGGTTGAGGAAATTGTGTACAAAACAATGAAACATTTTAATGTGGAGAAAAAGAATAGATAATCTACATTGAAATGAAATATTTTTTATAATCATCTCGATTCACAGTCTCTCTCATAATGACTGGACTGTGGTTTTGATGCTATAAAAGAGTCTCACATGTTAAAGAGATATTCTATCATAATTTCTCTAATTTGGATATTCAGCATCTCGGGCCATGTTGGCTTTAGTCATCACCTTGAACTGATGATCTTAATCTGTCCTCCTCACATTGCAAGCAGTTTTTTCCAAAACTACCATATGAGATTAAATAACAATTGATTTTTGATCATAACCATGAGCAGAAGATTATGGTTTGAAGAAAAGAGGCATAGAATATTCACTCAAACTTGTGTCTTAGAAGTTAATTAATCAGCATCATGACAACTAAATTAGCCAATGTCTAATGATAGTTGATATTGTGACAACTGAGATGGCTATTGCCTTGCACCAATGCAAGAACAGCAAGCAACCAAGCTAAAGAAATGGTGGATATCAGTGTTTGACATGGAAGGATTCTTTTGTGCTGGTTCTAAAGTCATTCTCCAAAGCAGTGGAAGAAATTTATATCAGGTAGGTTGCAGGGAACATGCTTGTGGAACATAAACTAGTGCCCCTGGAGGCAGAAGATATGGTGGTGGAGAGGGGGAGGCAGTCATTTCATCATATAAAGAACTACATTAAGCTAAGGTCAGTGATAACATAAACCATGTTCCTTAGCGTTGACAATGATAAGGAGAATGTGAGTAATATTTTTTTAAGTTTGCAAGTGCTAATTAACAAATCAATGGAGGAGTGCAGCAGGTGTGCTGTTTGTTCTCTGCAAATTCTAGACAGCAGCAACATGTGCCCACTCCTCACAAGAATATTTGGAGCTCATAGATTACACCAGGCTGAGGGAATGTACTTTTTGGCTTGTACAGCAAAGGGGAAGAAGTGGCATTGGCTTCAGCTAAAGTGACGAAGAGTGTTGTTGATGAGGGAATGCACTCTGCAAATTCATGGATGTCTGAATCCAGCTTTGCCAGAGTGTTGATAGTTTCTCTTGTTATGAATCATGATCAAGACATTCATCTACTGATTAATTACTAGAATCCAACTCCTACTAGATATTTGTAGTTATGTTTCCTTGTAAGTGCTACATGGAAGATAATTATCATTAAAATAAAATGTAGTGCATGAGATTTCCCTCATTGTAGGATAAGAAGAATTGCCAATGCAATTAGTTTTACCACTGCCAATAGAGAAATTATTTTCGTTTAAGGCTTACCCTTTGAAGCTCCTCGCTTGAAGGGGATGTCAACATGTATATGAATCCTTTGGCACTGAATTATGAGCATTGAGCAGAGGCTTAATCAAGTACTCGCGCAATTGGTACAAACTATGTTGAGGCCCCATCTGAATCATGTCTAACTTTGTATTCCTTGCAGATTCAATTGAAGTCTCTGCAAAAGTTGGAGAGTGCATAAATGAGCAAGAGTTTATCTACACTAGAAAGAATCATAAAAATTACCTTTAGAAGTTACCTAGTGTGAAGAACATCACATCACAATTAAAGATCTCATCTTTATCAGAGCACATGAAGGTCTTCCAGTGAGGCCAAGAGGTACTCCACATATTTAAGCTCTGTGATTTGCATAAATGTTGATCTTGGTAGGTTCAACCACCACCCACATCTCACGTGGATCAAGCATGGGAAACAGATGCTGAGCAGCAAAAAAGAAAGGCAAGTCAAACATTCGTCCTTTTAGTTCTTGCCATGTTCATAGTGTTGTTTCTGGACTAAAGATTAAATCCACCATAGTCTATCCCCCCTCACTCTTCCCCAACAAAATGTGGGTGTTCTCATTGTGGTTGTCATCTGACATTGCTACTGAAATATTCCTCTGATGGTCTATAATGCATCTGCATCCTAATTCTTATCCAAGTATGTATGCAACATGAGAGCTGAGAAGAAAGTAGGGTGCCCTTGCTTGGTCTGCAAACATGCCTGGTTTAACAAAATGGATGTCATCATTAGTCCACAGGTGATAGAAGCAGCCTTTTTGTTCTCTTTGGGACTGTCGGTGGAGGAGTGTGGTTAGAATAATGATACATAGAGTTCTCATGTCTGCCCTTTAATCTGCTTCTTTACTGCTCCAACAAGGCTTCTGCCTCTCCACACTACTTGTAATGTGGTAAATGGGGCACACAAGATCTTCCCTCCAAATACATTGTCATGATGCTCTCTTCACTAGTGGATACTTGCTCTCATTTCTTTTTAAGTTTCTTCCATAGCCTCATAATGAAGGGAACAACAAAATTTCATATGATGGCTCAATCAAATGATTGCTCTTGCTGTACTTCTAAAGCTTTTTTCTGCAGATAAAAAAGAACACAAGAACTGAGCGAGGAAGCATGCTCTGCCTGGAAAAAGAAGATAACTATTCTTTTTTTCCTACTGGAATGGTTGGCTCAAATTTCAACCCATGAGATTGTCTCAAGCTGGTTCTGAGGCCAGTGTTATTGCAGGATATTGAACAATGAGTGGCTTCAACATTTGATTCAGTTGTTGAGATAACAACAGTGCTGTTGCCCATCTTGGTGTAATGCTGTTGACTCTGGCCATAAAAATAGTGATGATTAAACATTCTGACTCCATGATTAGCATCTCAAGGCTCTTGTTTGGTGCCAAAATATTCCATGGCCACTGACATCATTCCAATTCCCACCCCATACTTAAGAAGCAATTCATTCTGATCTATACAAAACTTTGACCAAAGTTGGTGCTGTGGATTGTCCCCTGCACACCTAAACTCTTTTGGACTAGATTGAAACAGGCACAAAGTTCTGCCACTAGCACTAAATGTAGACTTCTAACCAAAAAACAATTGTAGGAACTATAAGAATAAAGCATATCAAGGAAATATCTGGGATGAATGAGGAACAAAATAACCTCATAACTAGTAGTTGATGAACATTTATTATTATTTCCTTTTCATAATTTACTTCACTGATATTGTCTCTCAAACTTAAATTTATTTGTTCAAATGCAGCACATGAGGCATGAACTGAAGTTTGTTGGTGATGCTGGAAACCTCTTTTTTGTTTCTTGGATTCTTCTAGGTACCACCCAGTTAGGATAATGGATACAGGTAATGTTGTGGTCCAAGACATATAATTAGCAGGATGTCAAATTGATAGCCAAAATGTATGATAACTTTTAAACAAAATTCCTCAGTAACTAATATCATTGGAAACTTGAAGCTGTTCAAAAAAGGATATCATCAAGTTAACAACTGGACTTGAATATTTATATGTCTGCCTGAGCTGCCATGCCCAGGACTACATCATCCCAACAGCACAATATATGGAAATCAACATGAAACTCAGGAACCAGAGCCTCTAGAATATATGGGTGCAGTAGCTGACCGCGAAACTTCACCAACAATCCCAGAGGGTAAAGTGTTCCAAATTGTCTGATAAATCATTGTTTTACATCTGAAGCACTTGAAGCATTCTGTTTGGTTTCCTTGAGGAGCAGACCATATCTTGAAATATCCGGAAAAGCCTATTCACATGAGAATGGAGTGTATGACCCATCAGCAGTACTTTAATTAGTAATACCTGGGGCTCAAATAGCAGAGAAAACATGGAGTAACAGGATACTGCAGCAAGAGGAAATAGTAACCACATATTACTCGTATGCCAAGAATTGAACACTCATTGTAAGATCCTAGATGAACCAGCAGAACGTTCTTCACAGCTCAGAAAAATTTATAAATGTTATAAAGACATCTCAAAAGCATCTATTGCAGAGAAGGCTGAGAAGCACTAGCAAATCAATGAAAATAAGCTTCCAATAATGGTGTGATTTGAGTTACTACACGCACATCAATAATACAGAGTTTTGTAATCTGAATTGAAGAGGCCACAAATCCAAGGACCATATAAGTGGCAGTTTGCTGTCTGCACAAAAATAAATAAAGATATCAACCTCCAAGAGTAAGCAAATGGAAGATATCTAAGCATGTTTTGTAGCATACCTATTAACAGCACGAGACAATGTCTCGCATCATTCAAGCTATTTATTTAAATTATAGGAAGTGGGGTTTTAAAATGAAGTGATGTGTGGGTAAAGGCATATGTCACCCATCTAATTATGTGCTTTGGCTGGGGCTTCTGGAAGAAGGCTATCAACAGGGTGACACATCAATTCAGAAGCTTGAAGATGACAGATCCTAGCTGAATAATCACTTTTGGAAGCAACAACATATAGTAGTCCTGGTAGAAGCAGAGCAAAACGGGAGCAATTGCCAACCAGCCCAACAGGAAGACGCTTTAGGAGCAGGAACATCAAGTTCCAGCTTTGCAAGCACAAAAGCAAGGGCTTTGTCAAGAACTATGCAAGGTACCCAAAATGTGAAGCCCAGTCGGCATGCATAACCCCTGCCAAATGGAAATAAACAACTATGTACCTGTTGCATCTGTGGGAACATCAGCGTCAACAAAGAAATGAGAAGTCAAATTACAAGAAGCAAATCTATCTTATAAGGAATAATAGTATCAGCAATATTTAGTAAAGGAGTAAGAGGTAATAATGTACGAGTACAAGCCATCACCAGCAGGCTACCAGTTAATACACCAAAAGGAATTACAAGTTCAATATGTATTTGGTGTCCGACAAGTAACTCTGCTTAAATCAATTCCCATATTCCCTGGAAATATGAAAATGATACCACCCACCATCATATCCCACTTTAGTGTATGAAATTCATTTTACTTACATTACCTTGAAAAACTTCATTATAAAATAAAGAAAAAAAAACTTCGTTACAATGAGATGTGATATATGTCAAGGGCATCAAAATAAAAGGAGATCTAGAAAAAATGATTTCAACAAGCAGGCTCCTAAAAAAGATTGAATGGGATTATTACTTCAAGATTGGCAGAGTTTGCATCAAAAGAGAAGTGATCTCTTTATTTGCAAACCCAAGATAATACTCGTAGTTGATGGAAATATCACTTTGTTTATATCTTGTTTATAACGCATAAGTGTCACTTTATCCAATCTAAGTAGTGAAAAATTGTTGTGCATGTATAACTTTGTCCATTACTTGGTGATCATGTGCAACAAATTGGACAATAAGCACAAATCTACTAGTAAAAGCAATCAAATCTTGTAATGAAAAGCAGATCAATTCGATTAAGATATTTAGTTCTTTTACATGTTCCAACTGAAATAGGATATAATTAACTCGATAGAAGAATCAATCTCACCTGCTCATAGAACAAGAATGGACCGAACGCCGCGGCGATACGGTACTCACTGCGATGCCCATGGTCAGAAATCTCCTTGACGCCTCCCACGGCCCGCGTCTGCAGTGATGCCTGAGAAGGTGCACAAAGAAGTGGTGAAAGAAGCAGAAAGGGACGGGCAAGATGAGCCCCCCGGCGAGATCCTTTCCTTCCTCCAGCAGAGAGAGAGGGAAAAGGAGGAGAAAGCCGAGGAGGTAGCCATTGTACCGGAAGTGGATGTAGTCGACGATGAGGAGCCCGTGGGACCAGAGGGAGGGGACTAGGAAAAGGGGCCCGTCGCCACCGCCCATAACCACGCCGCCTTTGCTCATCTCTGTAACGGTAAGTTCCGCAGGCCCAATTGCCAGCAAGTTCTTTTTTGGGCCAAAAGGTCGAATTCTATTGGGCCCAAAATGACATTGAGACGAAATTGCCAGCCCGGTCTTTCCATTGGCCTCCATTGTGGACCCCGCAATAGCTGCCGATGATGAAAGTGGGCCCTTGCGGATGCGGACCAACTGGAACGCGCTCGTCCCTGTTTGGTGGTTTTGCTCGATACAATTGATCCGGACCCAAGAACACCCAAAGCAGTGAAACCCTTCCTGTGTCTTCCCTTCTCCTCCGCCCCCATTCATTCGTCCCATTCCAACTCGAGAGCCAGAGAGATCAGTGGCCGCTGCAGCCAACCATGTATCGTCACGCCCCGCGACTCCTGACTCGTGTCATCGGTGGAGGCGTCCGCCGCAGCGCCACTGCCCGCGCCTTCTCCACTGATCTCCCGGCTGCGCCGTCGGAGGATGCCGCGTTCGTGGAGGCGTGGCGGAAGGTGGCCCCCAATATCGACCCGCCCAAAACCCCGCTCGCCTTCATGAAGCCCCGCCCACCCACCCCCTCCTCCATCCCCTCCAAGCTCACCATCAACTTCGTCCTCCCCTACCAATCCGAGATCTCCAACAAGGAGGTTTGCGCGCTCCGTCCCTCTCCGGCAGATCTATCTAAATCTCGTCTGGAGTTTTGTTCTGAATGTTGCGATGACGTTGCATCTCTTGTTGGTTCATTTGATTTGCATGTTTTAGGATCTGAACTCGAATCGGATGCCTTTTAATTGCTAGATTGTGGGTATTCTACATCTTCTAGCAGATGAGGGCTTAATATGGCTTCACATAAGTTGTGCCTTTGAAATACTTAAAGATAAAGACAATCCAAGGAAGCCTTAGGATTTCTTGTCTGACGAATATTAGTAATTGTAGATCAGGGGAAGGTAGACTGCAGTGTATAAATGTGTATGAATTTATCTGACTTAAAAAAAACATTCATATATCTGAAGTATGAGGTCATGATTATATATTTCTGATACTTAGAGAAGAGACTATTTTTGAAACTGCATAGTGATGTTTTAATTTTGTACCGTCTTGTTCATCACTATTTGGTTAAGAATTTTTTTTTTCTCTTATTTTGAGAATTTGCTGGAACTGAAATGAATGTGCTTGTCCAGCTTTCGGATGTTCTCAGACCATTCTAGTTCGAGCTTGATTACAGCAGTGATACTTGCTCAATATGTGTATTAATCCTTTTCTGAAGCATTTGGATACAACTTGGACACTGGTTTAAAAATAACAATGTATTATTGGTTTTTCAGAAGTTTGAATGTGGTGACACCATTTTGACTCGTTCTCTTCAACTTGGGTGTTGATTTTTTTTATTTGGGGCAATGTTAAGAACCATGCATTTGGAACAAGAGAGTTACTGTTTAGAAGTTATAAAAAATGTTCTTCGTATAAGGGAAACCAAAGGTGTTACTTGCTGAACATTTTTTGGTGTTTTGTTATAAACAATGCTTTTCAACGGAAATAAGCTTATGACACTGAAAAATAACCCTTTTTTGCTCTAGGCTGTTCTGAACTTCAACTCTGCAATAACATCTATAGAATTCCATTTATGGAGGCATTGCTTCTTTCACAATGCAACATTTCTAACCTGATATATCGCTTGCAAATGGCATTAATTCATAACTTCTCAACAGTCACTACAAATCTTTACTGAAGTTTTCCTTTGGTACACCATTCAAAAAATGTCAACAATTTTTTAAATGCTGTGTTGTTATTTTTATGGATTCTCTATGTTGTGATGCATAAGAAGTCTACTTGAAACTCTCATAAATAGACCTGGAATGCTTTTTTGGGCTTTTGGATGAATTCAGGACATAGGGAGGTTCTACATGCAAGAACTTCTTTTTTGTTTTTTTTTTCATGCAACAAATTCTTATTGTTAGCAGGGAAGCTTTGATGGAATGAGCAATATCGGTTTTTTTTTATCACATGCAAAAATTAGGAAACAAGTGACAGAAGAAGTTGAAGATTAAAGGTAGATCATATGCTAGAATTATAAAATAAGTGACACAGAAAAAGTTGAAGATTGATGCGAGATCATGTGAAAAAATTAGAAAATGTAACACAGAAGAAGTTGAAGATTGATGCGAGATCATATGCAAATATTAGAAAATAAGTGACACAGAAGAAGTTTAAGATTGATGAGAGAGAGAGAGGTCTCATATAAGATTTTGAGCAGATCACTGAAATGAAGATGGCAACAAATGATGGATGCTACACTGGACTAATCTGTTTATGAGCATTATGATTTTTTTACTTTTATAATGAAAGGCTGTGCCGTGAATCATTTGAGTACAGAAATTTTGTGATGACTTTTTTCCTACCATAGATATCTTTTTGATTATCAAGATGTCTGAATAAGTGAATATTCATTGGTGAATATTCTAGCTTTTAGAATTTTCAATTTTTATAGAGAAAACTACCAATGATTGATTGTTCAATTTTATGTTTAAGATACAAACAGTGAACATCCCTCAAGTGTTAAAGATCTCCATGCCCACATCTAATCATTTAATTCTAGACTTGAGGAAGTTGGAACTGCTAGAGAAAGGGAGAAGGATGGCTGTAATAATTTACTGATAAACCTTTCATATGAACAATACTATCAAACCTTCTTAAGTTGTCGTCTTTGTTTGCCGGAAGCAGCTACTAAATATAGGCTATTCATCCTATTGTATTCTATTAAAATATTATGTACTGTTGATAATTTTGAAAATTTTATTTCTTCGTTCTTTTAACATCTTATCTACCTTCAGGTTGACATGGTCATTGTCCCAGCAACTACAGGGCAAATGGGTGTTTTGCCTGGGCATGTTGCCACCATTGCTGAGCTCAAGCCAGGGCTCCTTTCTGTACATGAAGGGAGTGAAGTCACCAAGTACTTTGTTAGCAGTGGTTTTGCTTTCGTACATGGTAACTCAGTTACAGACATAGTTGCTGTTGAGGCTGTTCCTGTTGACCGCATTGATCTAAGCCTCGTCCAAAAGGGACTTGCTGACTTCACCCAGAAGCTAAACTCAGCTACAACGGACTTGGAAAAGGCTGAAGCACAAATTGGCGTTGATGTTCATAGTGCACTGAATGCTGCACTCTCTGGTTGAGTGATAATGTTTATTCCTTAAGATGTGATCCTCTTGAACCCATGTTGAACACAGATAAAGGGCTAACTCTCAATGTGAGGAAAGAGGGGAAGCTACAATAAGTTTTTGTTTCAACTGAAAACACATTTTGGTATTTTGATAACTTAATTGTGATCCTGCTGTAAGACTGGATTGTTTGGTATTTTGCTTGTTTTGCATTTTAATCTTCCCTTTTTTGATATAATTCTGTCGAATTTTTCTGATAGAACATCCAAGCTACTTCTTGTTTCCCACCTTTGACAATGGCATGTTTGTTGCTGTTCTACTTATGTCTTACTTGACTTCCTAGTTTTTGATGGAATATGAAATGGGGTTACGAGGAACAGCTATTTCGAGGGTGTGTCTACTGCCATGGCTCTATTTCCTATGAAAAGCTGCTTTGGCAATATGTAAAAGATTCTACTGCCATGGCTCTGCCTTTACTACTACAATATGCAAGTTTTGTTCAGTCTAAGAACTTGGAACAGTATCATTGAATCTAATCTGGGTCATATCAGTTTCAGCTTGATTGATAGCTGTTAACCTTTGCTAAATTGAAATAGGCATGTCTGCTCAAAAGTTCAACTTGATATCTTTTATTGCAAACCCATTATGCTAGTCTTCCTTTCATCTCTAGATTTATCTCTAGTCAAGCCTCATTCCATTATGAGACAATGGACATCTTGAGTGTATAGTATTGCTTCCAACAGTGATGTGTTCATGTCATAATGGTGGTAACTTCTGCACAGTTACTAAGCAGTCTGCAGAACTATTACATTGTAATATATAGGTCAAACAAATTAGGAATCCCAGTTACTTTATTGATTTTTTGTTAAGATAAATATGTAGCTGAAGTCTGTTTTATGATATGCAGGCACAAATTATGATGCACCTTCTTGTTTAATCTTGAATCATGTTTTTGTTGTTTCTAGATTGAATAGGCTGGATTCATGGTTTGAAATGAAAAGATAGTTTGTGTCCTTGACATGTTGATTTCAAGATCTTTCTTAATCATCCAAAAGGTTAAATTGCCAGATTAGCAAGAACATGGGAAATAAGGTTGCTATTGGGGTTTGTCATGACTCTACTATGCACTTGCCCCTGCCCTCCAGTTTGAGTTAGTCATGAAGAAGCAACCTAAAGTATGGTTTTCAACTTTAAAATTCAGGAGGAGGCAACTCAAGGAAGTTTAAGAACCATTCCTATAAATTAATGGGAGATGAAATCCAGCACCTTCATGGAGTCTTTTTCTTGCAACATTTTGGTGTTTTTTCTATGAACCTGCAAAAATGTTCAGGCAATTGCCTTCCTTTCTCTTTTGATGTTCTACTATCTCTCTTCTCTGTTACATTTCTCTTGGTGGTTTGCACATCAAGTTTACCTTATAATGAAAGTTGTGGATCAGCCATATCTCAGGTAACAGAAGTAATTCTGATAAGTTTTGCTAGTTTAATGTAATGAAGTACACAATTTTGCAGTTTGCAATGATGCACTAACTACCACACTTGTATCAAACAAACTTAAAAAGAGTTTCTTACAAGCTGTCTTTTGTGAACCTGTGTATCTGCTCAACTTAGCACACTAAAACTGCAAGTTCTTTTTTCCTTCAAAAATTTGTATTGATGATTAAACTGTTTTATCTATGCTGAAGGAATTTTCATTGTTGAAGGCTTTGTTGGCACAATAAAATCCTGTGTAACCAAAGTTGGATCTTCAAGAGTGCCAGGTATTGATTGGGACCTTCAGGTACTGTTACATAATTTTCTTTAACTTTGTTTGCATGGCCTGTCCAAGCCCCAGCCCACATGCCTTGTGGTTGATTGTCCTGCCACCACTAAAGTGTTGGATCTGCACCCAATGGTCAATAGTTTCTTATGCTTGCCATTTAGGTATACATTAATTATGGCTCACCAAAAACTGCTCATGCTAATTGTCCCAGCACTCTTCACAGATGGTGGGGTAAAAAGGAAATTGGATTGTGATAGATATGCTTGTTCTTCTCAGCTATGAGGTCACACCCATGAAACCTTTTCTCTTTAGTTTTGAGACAGGAACTATTTGATCAGAAGAAGAAATGGGGGTGGGTTTGTGTTATCAACCAGATGGCACAGTACAAAAGCACCAAGAAGAAGATGCAGTTAAGAGAGATTGGTAGGCATTTTTTTGGTTTAGGCTGAGACTAGGCACACATAAGTCAATGCTGAGGTGTGGTGAAGGCAGCATAAAATGGTATGGACATGGAAAGATCATAATTGCACACCATCACAAGAACATTGTAAGTTTAGGCTTACTGAAGTTTTTTTTTTCTTTCATTTTTCAGGAGATCGATTGAAGGGATTAAAGAGAAAATAAATGTAAGTCAAACTTACCATGAGGAATATCTTGTCCTAACTCAAAACACAGGATCTCCTTTTTTCTTTGTTCCCAATCCACTTGGTTGGTAGCTTGTTTTTGTCCTCTTATCTACTTTTTATCATGTTAGAATAAAACAAACTCTTCTACACTGTGTTCTAGTACTGATGCAAAACATTGAGAGAAACTTATAATAATTTTAGACTTGAACCTATACTCATTGGCATCACCCCAAGTCTATATTATAATAACACTTGTCTTCCTCTCTTTTATCTAGGATAGCATCCTCCCATTTGGCTTCTTCTTTATCCTTTGGGACCACTATTGAAGATGTGGGTGTTGGATTCATCAATTTCCATGACAAACAACAAAATGTACATGTCTTTGGCAATTAAAGCTGTCACAAGAGGTTCATGAGTTTGAGCTCCTGTGGACCTTGGCCATGCAAATGGATGGATATTGGCCATTAGTGTGATACTGCTGGAACCAATGACCTCTTCGATGAAGCATCTGAGTAAAGGGAAAAGGTGGTGAAAAGTGAAAAAGATATGATCTTGCTTTCTGTATGTATGTATGTATCCACCAGCAAAAATGTCTGCTATGAAGTACAATCACAGTGTCACATGACACTGGTTGCCCACCAGGTGGTGGTAAAATTAAATATGTAAATTTAAAGCTCTCTCATTCAAATATAATGTGTTCAGTGAATGATTGAGTCAGGCTGGATTGCAGTTTGATTTAAAAATGATTCAGTTGAAGAAAATAACATAACATGGAATTTTCTCCATTGAATCAGCTATCTGTGCTTGGTAAAGTAAGAACAGCTCTTTTGATCCACATGAGAGAATTAAATCCATCTCTTGTGCTTTAGTGGTGTAAAAGAAAAGGACATTATGATTTCAATAAGTATATAGTTGTTTAGGTTACATTGGATTAGATCACTTTGACTTTAGAGAGAAAGAGAACAATTTGATGAGGCATAGATTGCCAAAACCAATGCAAAAACTTGGATAGCAACTCCTACTCTGTGAGCATTTTCTATGGTAGTAAAAGTCAAAAACATTTGATACAATGGAAAGTAAGCTACTTTTGTCTCAGAAAGACCATTGACACAAGTAATCACCATTACTAGTCGAATTAGATCTCAAGACATGCACAGAGCAAAATCCAAAACTTGTTGCCTAAGAGGTGATGTCAGTGACCAATCTGTGGCTTTCATCAGTCACAGCAAGATGTTGCAGATCGGCCATTTTCTCGAGACTGCACAGCTGAGCCAAAAGAGGACGCATTTACTATTACCTTTGTTTCTTGTTGCCGCCTCTGATCTCTTCTCCGATGGGGCCATCATTGCAGGGCTACTTGGTGTCATCCAAGCAGCAGTTGCCACATTCGCATATCTACCCTTGTGCAAGTCACGGCCATGGCGGGGCGACGTTGGATGGTCCTGCAAGATCATTCTTTGCTTGACGAATCAGTGGACGGAAGAGACTGGTGAGCCGAACGAGGACAAAGGCTTGGTGGACTTGCTTGCTTTCCGACTCAGCGTGTCTACGTTCCTATCCGATCCATTGTGGATTCTACCTCTGATTAGAATGTGCAAATAAATGTTTCATGAAGTAGATTGGATAGAGTAGGGAGGAAGATTGGAATGAACAACGGGAAGCCGCCCTGGCAAAAGTCCGAACTCGCACGCGAAGTGTTCGATGTATTGCTTCTGCCTCCCCCCTGCTTTTCAATACCTAACAAATCCATGGGCGCATCTTTGATGTTGCCCTCCCTCCTCTCCCATTGCTATGTGTGCGCTACAGAGTGCAGCAGGACTACCAAATCCTCTTTGGATGCAGCGACAGCTACCAAGAGGGGGCCTGCTGCATAATGGATGGATTCGATGCTCAGCCATGACAACAACCTCCTTGGAAGACTCGCGTCAGTATCGATTTCACCATCCTGATTGCACATCAGGAGGAAGTCACTCTGAAGGTATGCGAAGGAGATAATTTCTTTTAGTTGCATGTTTCTTTTATTGTCATTGTCTAAGCTTATACTAATTCGTAATGAAGAAATAATAAAATGAGATTTATGTGAGACTTAATTCTATTGGACTCAATTCAATTTAGGAAGTCAAGAAGCTTATGTTGATCATTGTTTGATCAAATACAATATTGGTTTGTTTTCACTTGGAAAAACCACAGTTTTTTCTTATTATTAATAAAAAAGTAATATTGTCTCTATTTTTTCACATATGCAATCATTTATTACTCCATTTTTTGGTGATCTGTTCCACCGACAACTTCAATTTCCTCAGTTTAATCTGCTATAAACACAATTAATAAAAGTAACAGTTTTCTTTTCGTACTTATGCATATGATACATCCAAGAAACTGGCCATTAGCTTGATTTGTATTTTCTCTTTGTGCCAGTAATTTAAGCTTCTCTTATTATTATATCAGTAACTCAGAGTTTATATGTCTAGTCTTACTTAGATTCAAAGTAATCTTGAAAGCTGTAATTAGATTCTGGTTGCTACTCTTCCTTCTTGTATGAAAAGCAAATGCCATATCAAACAACATGCACCATAGAAATTATTCTGCCTGTCATGAATCAAAAGATAGATTCAAGAATGATCTTTGGGTGCCACCCATTATGATTGAAACTAATTTGCAGCCACCTGACATATTATAATTTTTCATAACTGTGTTGCACGTTCTTTTATAATGTCATTAAGAATCATATTTCTTTTGTCAAGTTGTGTGTCTTCTTAATTAATTATCTAAATAAGTAAGATCACTTCTCCTCCCAGTGATGTACCTATCTTAACACCAATTGATTTATGTCAAAATAAGGCAGCTTCTGTTTTGCTTATATGACAAGCTCTAAGAAAAAGATTATTACATACCATGTTGTTGGTATTAGTCAATTTGATATCATTATATCCTGAATTAATTGAGAAAGAGCATGCGTGAGTGTGTTTAATTTCCATTTCTTGTTTCTCTGATGCAGGGAAAGAAGGAGAAAAGAATGGGCTGATGGTTTATTGGAGAAAGCTAAGAGAAAGGAACAACACAAGAAACAAGAACAATAAATGGAAATCCAAGCAGCAACAAGCACACAGGAGTCCCTGCTATATCCCCCCATGTACAAACAAGCAAGCGATTGCCAGGCAACATCATCCCATTTATATCCTCCCCACATGCCTACAGGCTGCTCATCATTAGCAAACTCACCTGGAAAATCTCAACACATGATGCGGCCCTGCAGGTGAGGAGAAGTGGATCGATCCATTCGAGAAGAGAGATTCATGGTCGGCAGCTGCTCCTGCCTTGAGAAGAATTCCAACTCACCAGCCTCCTCTCCCTCTTCTCTGTGTGCTTGAGAGAGAGCAGAAGCAAGCCATCCTTTTGACTGTTCCTTTGCGCTTTTTCTTGCGTTAAGGGAAGAGGAAGAGCAGGGAAAAAGAGTTACCACTTATTGCTTCTCAATTTCTGCTTTGCTCTGCTCAACTTTGTGCTCATCAGTAAGTAGTTCTTCATTCGAAGTTTGCGGTCAAGTTCCAATCTTGATTGGCGAAGATCGAATTTTGATGGTTATGGTTGACTTTTGGTTGATGGATTGACGCAGAAGCGAGCGGGAGCGGAAGGAGATGGACTTCTCTCAGGCCGTCCTCGATCCGTCCGCCAATGGAGGTGAGCAAAAGTTGCCTCCTTTCGGTGCTTATGAACGGTCTGTTGCGGTTTATTCTTCTTTCTCCCTCTGAGATGAGATGGGTATCGTGAACAGCGGCGCCGAATCCCAGGAAGAGAGGTAGGGAGATCGGAGTCCCGGTGGCGATGGCATTACCGCAGCAGAACCGATCTATCGACCTCTTATCGTTGCAACCACAGCCTCCGCTTCCGCCCCCGGCGTTGGTCCGCTTCGCCCAGCTTCAAAGCCATCCTCCTGCCGTCGTCTCCACGGGCCTTCGCCTCTCCCCCGAGGAAGGACTCCTTTCCACTTTTTCTACCTCTTTTCTCTCTTCCATTGTCTCTGAGGAGCTCGCCGCCCATCTCAACCAACAGAAGGGAGAAATCGAGCAGTTCCTTGGCGCCCAGGTACCATTCTGTCGTCCGCCAAGTATCCGATCGCTTCGTTTCCTTTGGTCTTGGAAATGAAAAGATACCCGAAATTGGATCTTCATTCCTCTATGGCAGCGAGATCAGCTGCGGCGGGCGTTGGCGCAGAAGCGGCGAAGGCACTACCGTTCTTTAATAGGTGCGGCGGCGGAGTCGGCCGCACAGAGGCTACGTGAGAAGGCAGCGGCGGTGGGGCGGTTGACGCGGCGGATCATCGAGCTCGAGGACCACCTTGCCCGCCTCCGTACCGAGTCCATGGCGTGGCAAGCCAAGGCCATGGCCGACCAGGCGACGGCAGCTTCTCTCGAGGCCCAGCTCCAACAGGCGGCCGCAGCTGCAGCGTCCCGGGCGCAGGGTGGCCCGTGCGGCGAGTCGATACCGGCCGAGGACGCGGAGTCGGTCTACGTGGACCCGGGCCGAGTCGAGATGAAGCGGGCGTGCCGCGCGTGTCGGGCGCGACTGGCTTCGGTGGTACTCCTCCCCTGCCGCCACCTCTGCCTCTGCGACGCCTGCCACGGCGGGGAAAGCCCGGCCGAGTCGTGCCCGGTTTGCGGCTGTGTCACAACTGGGAGAATCCGAGTCTTGCTCGGTTGAGGCGACGAATCCCAGCCGTCCAAAATCCCCATGAACAAAAGAAAATAAAAATAGAAAACGTAAAACATTAAAGAAAAAGAGAGAAGAAAAAGGAAAAAGAAAAGATGAGGAGAAGTCGGGATTTTCTAACTCATCTTATTCTTTTTCTTTTCAGCTTCAAATTTTCTACCAATTTATCATAATTTCATGGTTTTATTTCGTGTAACTATGAAGCCCATCGGCACCGTTCGTTTCGTCAACTTGGAGAGGAGCGCTTGATTGCGCTCACGTGGCCGACCCGTTTCCAAATGGATAAGCTCATTTGTAACTAATTACCGGACCAAATATTTTAGATCATTTTTTCTAAAATAGCTCTCACTAATTTATTTGTCTTTCTATCCAGAATTTATCTTCTTTTTTTTTGTAAATCCTAATTTTTCCCTCTTATTTTAATTATTTTTTAAAAAAATTTTGAACCATTTCGATTGGCTCTTTTTTCGCCTCCTTTCTCTTCGGTCTCTTTTTTTCTTTTTTTATCTCCCTTCAATTTTTTTTTTTGACTCCTCTTTCTCATTTCTTTCTTAGTACTCTTACATGGAGAGATGACAATGGTGATAGATGAGAAGAAGAAAGAATAAGATATGAGAGAGGAAATAAAAGAAGATCGAATTTTAATTTATATTTTCGGTTTGATAAAAATCATGTAATAAATTTAAAAATAAAGGATATGTTTATATTTTTACAAAAAGATTATATATGCCTATGTGAATTCTCAAGGGCGTCATCCAAAATAATAATAATTATTATTATTAGTAGAGGATTTATTTTTTGATAAATTGTCTAATATTTTATAACTTAATGCTTAGCCAACAATGTAACTTACGGTTTAATAGTTAAATGATTGTGGATTATTAATGGTTAAAAGGATATAAATGATATATCATCTAATGACTTAAGCAAAAAATATCAACATAATAATAGCATGCGAAAGTTTAGCTTAATTTTTTTGGGCCATCGGATATAAATGTTTGAGGAAGTTGTCTTCCTCCTCTCAATTAATATTTTAATGGGCTCAGATTAGTCCACAATTCAGTGATATCTGTATACTTATTGAGGGTTTCTTTTAGGATGATCAGATGTTCTAATTCTTTCGTTAAACTTGCACAGTGTGTTGAGGAATCTGATAACCAGGTTGGTTTTAGTATCGAGCTTGTGTTGAGAGGAAACCTCCATCAGTAATGGAGGTAGGCATATTGCATTTGATTAGGCAACACTGTAAGCATTAAGTCAATCAATCTCACCATGGGAAGATTCAACATCCAAGTGCAGCTGTGGAGCATAATTATCATCAACTTCACAGGAAAAAATTCGTTCCATCTTCAATCCAAGATAAGCGATTTGTGCTTATAAGGGTATCGTTGATCTACTTCACATCAATGGCTCCAATTTCTAACTTCAATCCTATCTCAAAACGTAAAATTGGAAGAAATCTCTACAATCTCATGCCAAGGTGCTCTCAAATTCTTGACTAAAAAATAAGAAATGGATTTACACATAGAAGCCTTGTGTTCTCCGTTACTAAGAAGAACGAAAGAGAAAGAGAGATAATAAGGGCAGGGATTACTAAGATAATTATGGGGAAACATCATCCGTCTTGATCTCGTTCGTTCTTATCAAATGATAGACTCTCCTCATTTAAGATTTGTTTCAATATTTTTGTTTCATTTATATATAGGTATACTAAACATAACAAAATATCGAAACTATAAAAGACAAGTAAAACTTAATTCTTATGTCCTTTTGATAAAGTTCTCTTAATTAGTTTAATGGGCTCAAATTAAATCCATAATTTAGTATGACAAGGATATTGAGATTAGTAATCTATAGATATAATGAGGGTTTTTTAGTATGATTAAATCTTTCAATGCTTTTATTAATTAAGACATGTCTTTAACAACAAGGATAAATGAAAACCAACATATATAATCTAAAAGTGTGTTTCTTCAATAATAATGATAAAAAATAATAATAATTACTTTTATGAAAGAATTAACATATTCTAATATGGTTAGATAATTAAAATACTTCTCTTAGAAGAACCGAAAAAAGTGAGAGATGTCCAACAAACTATAATTATCATTGTATCTAAGAAAGAATATCACTAAATTTTAAAGCTAAATATATTCACCAAATCTCAACTTTATTTTATAAGCATTTCGACAATCTAAATAGGTATAACGGGAGAAACTAAACACAGTCGAGAGGATAAATCTATAAAAAGAGGAGATCTTTTAGGTTATTATTTTATCATCAACATCTACAAAACTAATTAAGAAATAGAAGGAATAGAAAAAAATGTAGAGAGAAAGAGAAACCTAACCATCTAATAAGCTACATTTGTCCTTTTTCTAGCCCTTTAATCACCTACCTCGATGTTGATTATAATGACTTCTCAATATGCCTTGTCGAGGGCATAGTTGATCCACTTCCCATATGGTTCTAATTTCCAACTTTAATCTCACCTCAAAATGTTAACTGAGAAACTAAACAAAAACCATTAATGTTGGAGAAATCTCTACATTCTCATTCCAAGAAGCCCAACAATAAATGAATTTGCATACAGAATATTCTTCGTTACTCATACAAGCAAAAGCAAGAAAGATTACTAAGATAATTATGAAGAGACATCATTCATAAAAACTTATAAAGTTGAAGAATTCTCTCAAATTTATGGCTAATAAATCAGAAAGAGATTTACACACACAAGCTTTCTATTCTTGATTGCTTAGAAGAACAAAAGAAAAAGAGAGATTTTGAGGATAGGAATTACTAAGATAATTATGAGGAGACATCATCCATCAAGATTCGTGATGTTATCGTTCTTATCATATGATAAACTCTCCTTGTTTATGTTCTGTTTCAAGGCCTTTACTTGATTTATATATAGATATACTAAACATAACAAAATATCCAAACTAATAAGTAAAACCTAATTCTTATATATTGTTTGAAACCTTTTCGAGGAAGTTCTAAGAAGTTTGTTTGAAAACACATAAATATATATTGTTTGAAAGTACACAATGGACTTAAATTAAATCTACAATTTAGTATATGATGAGGATGTTGAACGATCATGACAAAAGAATAATAATCGATACACACGTAATGAGGATTTTTTTAGTATGATCAACTCTTCCAATATTTGTATTAAAACGTGTGTTTTCAACAACAAGGATGAATGAAAACTATAATCTAAGACGTGTGTTTTCAATAACAATGATAAAAATATATATATGTAAGGGAAAAAATAATAATAGTGACTACTTTAATGAAAGAATCAATATATTCTAATACAATTAGACAATTAAAATACTTCAATCCAACCAGGTCTCTTAGAAGAGCCCAAACAAGTGAGAGATGCCCAAGAAACTATAATTATCACTACATTTAAGGAGTAATATTTAATAATTTTCAAGGCTCAAATATGTTCACTAAATCTCAACTTTATTCTACAAATTAGCATATTGACAACGTAAAAAAAGAGAAATTAAAAACAATCTAGAGGAGAAATCTATACAAAAAGGGATATATTTTATGTTATTCTTTTGTCATCAATATCTACAAAATTAATTACAAAATAAAAATAATAAAAAAAATAGAGGGAAAGAAGAAACTTAATCATATGAGCACTTGTTCTTGAACATATGTTGGTGACTATACGGCTTCATAGAGGATGCGGATGACGTCGACATCTTGTCCTTCTTCTTGTTTGTATATTGCTTGTTGAGGGCATCATTAAACTGCTTCGGATCCATAGCTCTAATCTCCACCTTCAATCCCCCACCTCAAAACGTCATCCCTCGTAGAGAAATCAAACAAAAACTCTTATGGAGAAATCTTTACATTCTTGTGCCGATAAGCTCTTAATTTTAGGATTGATAGATAATAAAGAATTTTACATGTAGAAGCCTCTTATTCTCTATTTCTTGAAAGAGTTGTGGGCTACGAAGATAATTATTGGCCGATGTTATCCATCAAGATTCATAATGTTATTATATCTCGTTTGTTTGAAGATCTTTACTTCACACACACAACTCTTTACTTGTGGAGAATGTCTAATTAACCTTCGATTCTTATTATGATAAGATAAGACTCGAACGGGACGAAGCTACAAGGAAAGCCCCCAAAGCATATGCATGGTATTCGGCACCGAAGAACTAACAAGCAATTACTAAACAAGTAACGAAACAAGCAATTACTAAACTAGTTGCAATAAGCAAAGAAAAAGATAAACTCATTTTGTTATGTATTAGGAGTTATTAGAGTTCCAATAAACAATGATGCAGCGCGGGCAAGTCAACAAGTAACGCCAAAAGATGTTACGCAACAAGCAACTATTAACGTTGTTCATTGACCTAATAATTAGTATGAGTTATTAACGAGTCCTATTTTTGGCGTTAGTAGGAGTTATGTACTGAGTTCTTTCTTCGTCGACGTTAGTGGAGTGTTCATGACGTTAGGAGAGTTGGAGTCCTTTAACCCCTCTGTTCAACTATTTACCTTTCTCCTAGACACTAAGCTCCTGCGGGCGGCAATAGCACACTCCTATAAAGAATTAAATGAAGAAAATAGAAAGATAGAAATTGTAGAAGAAACTATGAAATGTAATTGCATAGTTCATTTAGATAGTGAGCTCTTGATAGCTATTTATACACATTCAGTAAAGAGAATTTTTCTCAACTATTCATAAATTTCCTCGATAGCGAGCATAAGCGGCAGGTCAAGGACTTGGACCACAACTCAGTTAAGAAGCACAGTCAAGCAGTTTAGAATGATTAATAAGTTCTACTACTCCACAAAGGTCAACCCAAGTCAAAGGAATAGGAAAAAAATTAATAACTAAGGTCAAGTCAAGTCAAATGAATTGAAAAGAAAGCAGTAACGCTACAAGAAGTAAAAGTACTAATGCATACGGTCAAAGCCCAAGTGCTAACGAAAGCAGTTTTGTGTGTTTCAGAGCAGCAAGTAAGGAGTCCGCTGTGAGGTATTTTATGTGAAGCAATGTTGTGCCTTCCTAAGGATTTCTATCTAGGGAGAGCGCTATCACTTAATTTGGTGAGAATGAGGAGTTTTGGAAGCAAAAGGGAGTCAGCTGTTGTTGTTTGTTGAGTTTGAGTTCACGAAAACACACTTGTCTTTCCTACGGAGCGGAGGAAGCGTTGACACTTCTCCTATTTATTATTTAGATGTGCGTTTGTTGTTATATCACACAATATCTTTTATAAAGATTCTTAAATGAATGGATGAAAAGATCGAGCAGATCTTTTAAAGATCGCATCGTAACCTCCCACACCCGACTCCAGCTCCTATCGTATCCTTCATGACCAATCTCGTTCCTGAGATAGAGAAGAAGAAGACGAAGATCTTTACATGGTTTGTTTTTCCATCTACCTTAAACAAATGCTGAATCTTTTGACCTGTTTCTCTTGCGTAGGCTGTATGCATCTCATCTGATATTGTTGGTGCAACGCCAGTGATCATTGAAACCATGATGCTTCCACCCGACCAAGTCTCGGCGCGGGCCGTCGGCCTCGTCCTCGGCTCCCTCTTGATTCTGGTCTTCACCTACGCCTGCTTGTGGCCGACGGAGATGTCGATGAGCTTCTTCCGCTCTGAACGTTCGCTCGACGCAGTAAGTTGCACGCTTCATCGAGATTCGATATGATGATTCCAATCATGGAGAAAGCAGTAAAGTTACTTGTGAAATTGTTGCCCAGGAAGAACTAGAGAGAGCTCTACAGGGCGCGTCCATGATGAACAGGACGCTGGTCATCAGCCGAGTAAACAAGGAGCAAGCCGAGGAGAATGGCATGCTACGCCTCTTTCTCCGAAGCTTGCAAGAAGGGGAGGGGACGGAGTTCTTGATCAAACACATCCTCTTCGTGGCCGTTGATGAGATCGCTTTCGACCGGTGCACCATCCTGAAGCTTAATTGCTACCGGTTGCCATCCATGGAGCCTCTGAATCCTTCGGAAGAGCTGGTTTTATCTGGTGGTCTCGACATGATGTGGGGAACAGGTCTCCTCCTTGGAGAAGTCCTGAGGCATGGTTATAGCTTTATATTCACAGTAAGTAAATGACGACACTGAAGCGATGGAAGCTTAAGTAGCACTCACCAAAACTAATGCCATGATCTCTTCTTCTTACTACTACTCTCAGGATCTGGATGTAATGTGGCTGAGAAATCCATTCCCGATGCTAAGCTATGCCGGAGAAGACATGCAAATATACAATGGAGAACCTAATGATTCTTCCCACTTCTTCTTCGGCTCTGGTTTCTATTCCGTAGCTGCAAACAACAGAACCATCGCATTATTCGATCAGCTGTATGCTGCAAGGATCGACTCCAAGATCATGAATGGAAAGGACATGTTGACGTTTCTTTTAAGATCTATATCTCGGGGCGCCTTTCAGCGGCTGGGGTTGAAAGTGCATGTCTTGGACGCAGTATACTTCGGTGGTCTCTCTCAGGAAGCCATTGACATCACGAAAGTGACGACAGTGCATGCGGACTGCTGCCCCAGCGAGGAGGCCAAGCTTGCCGATCTGACTGCGCTCGTCGATGCTTGGAAGACATATCACAGGAAATCGAACGTCACATTGCTAGTGCGCAATGCCTGCACACAGTCAATGAATGTAAGTTTTAGATGCAACTAATAAGCGATTCAATGTCTGGTTCTTATCGAAGGCTGCATCTCGTTTTGGATTTGGTCAGACATCAGTTGCATCCAAAGACGAAGATGAGCTTGGAAGAGCGTTGCAGGGAGCTTCCATGGCGAACAAGACTGTGATAATAAGTGTTCTAAACAAGGCTTACGTCGAGGAGAACGGCATGTTGGACCTCTTCCTTCGGAGCTTGCGGGAAGGCGAGGACACAGGGCTTTTGATCAAACACCTTGTCCTCGTGGCAGTCGACAAGACGGCCTTCGACCGATGCCGTGCCCTGGGACTCCACTGCTTCCAGCTCGTCACCGATGGCGTCGACTTCTCCAAGGAGGAACTTTACATGTCCGACGACTTCATCAAGATGATGTGGAGCAGGACTCTCTTCCTCGGAAATGTCCTCAAGCGAGGATACAACTTCATCTTCACAGTGAGTTACTTCATCTTCGTCGAGTCTCACACACCATTTACTCACGTGTCGTCGTCGTTGCTGTCAGGACATGGATGTGATGTGGCTAAGAAACCCATTCTCCCAGCTGCATCATCGAGGAGAAGACCTGGAGATTAGCTGCGACAGATACAATGGCCGACCTTTCGACCAATCCAACTCCATCAACACAGGCTTCTACTTCGTGGCCTCGAACAACAAGACCATCGCATTGTTCGACGAGTGGTACGCGGCGAGTCGCACATCGAAAGGCATGAAGGAACAGGATGTGCTCTACAGCATGAAATCTCAGGGAGCATTTCGACGGCTGGGCATGAAGGTTAGGTTCTTGGACACTGCATACTTCAGTGGATTCTGTCAAGACAGCAGGGATTCACGTAGGGTGACGACAGTGCACGCAAACTGCTGCCGAAGCATCAAAGCGAAGCTTACTGACCTGAAGAGAGTGCTTCAAGTGTGGAAGACGCATACCGGCACAAGCATCAGATGGCCTCCCCACACCGCTTGTGCTCACTCCTGGGGATAAAACTATGTAAGAACAGATCAAGAAAGCAAGGTTTTGGTGGTGCATTTTGTTTCAGCTTGAAGCCTATGTAAATAATATTTAGACCATAAACTCACAGATCACCATATACTTAATTCGATGTATATGCATGCAGCATGTTTTCTTCGTGTTATAAATTTAGTATATAATTAGGATTCATACAATTTTAAGTAACCTGATGAGGATAGTAATTATGATAAGATCCGACTGACATCAGATGACGCCTCACGCCTCGGACGACACAACGGCACCCGGTCAAAAGGACCGGAACACAGGCCGAGGCGCATTAACACCTACTCAGGCTCGGTTCTTCATGCCATGCCAAATCAATGTCAGACGCAATCACCTCCTGTAGGCGGGCACATCAAACAACAGTAAGCTTCCCTATAAATATCCTCTCGAGAGACACACAAACACTTCTTCATCTGAAACCCCCTCCACATCTTCCTCTAACTTGATCGTCGGAGGTCGTCGGAGGGGTCGGGTCGAGCTTCCTGACCCGATCTTTGTGCATGTGCAAAACCAAAGGTCCTCATCGGTCCCGCAGGCAGAGACGACTACACCGTCTCGATCGGACACCGCCCCCGACCTCCTCAGCGAACTCGAGGAGCGCCCCCAGGGAGATCCCCGTCTTCCGGATCCGAACCGAGTCGTGTCGGCCCCGAGGCCACGGCTCAAAGTTGTTTCCCGCAACATAACCCAATCAAAGAATCTTTCATATTGGTAAAAGGTTCGATCATTGTAAACTACTACTAATCAATTCTTACGAGAAGCTTTCATGATTGAGCCTAACCAATAGCATACTGAGACTGATGATCAATGCAATACATTTTAAATGGTTATAGGTTCTATTTTTGATGGTAATAGGTGTGGTTTCTCCTGCACAGAGTTAGTGCGTGAGACTGTTTCAGAGATTGGGCGTATTTATAGATGATGGTGGTGGAGACGGTTTCAACCGCCGCTGAAACCGTTCGTCTCCATCTCATGATTGCGGTTCTGTTCAGTTATCCGCTCGTCAGCCTCAACGATCCCACGTGATAAGTTGAGCGAACGAGTTGGAGTTTGCAAACGAATGTAATAATTTGCGATAATCGAGTTTTCTGGCTGGTCGTAGCCGTCAATCCCATCAAACGCACAGTTATGATGATCCTGCACCGTTCGATCCCTTGCATACACTCCTCGGCACCTCTGATGCATTTAAACGATTGCGTGCTAACACCAAAAGAATGAAGTGCCACAGCATAGTCCTAGAAAAACTCGAAATCGAGATACTTCCCTCCGGACTTCACGTCCGCACCCACAACCCTTTTGCTGCTGGTGGTAGTACCGCCGAATCCATCGGCCGCGCCGAACTTTAGCGGCAGCTCAGCCTCGACCGGCCGCGGTACCTCCGGCGGGGTACTGCATCGAATCAGCGCCCAGTTCACGCCCTCGAAGAAGGGATGCTGCTTTATCTCCGTGGCTCCCCTCTTGACGCCCAGCCTTTGCTGCGGCTCTTTCACCAGAAGCCCTCTTATCAGATCTCTGCTAGCGTAGCTGGTCGATGGGGCCTCCGAGAAGCTGAGCTGCTGGCCGACCACGTTGAACAGCGTCGCGCGGTTGCCTGAGCCCTTGAACGGCGTCCGGCCATAAAGGAGCTCGTGCAGGAATATACCGAAGGTCCACCAGTCCACAGCACTTCCGTGGCCCTCGCCTTTGATGATTTCAGGGGCTAAGTACTCGTGCGTCCCGACGAAGGACATCGATCGAGCAGTTGTTGGCTCGACGACGAGCTCGGGCAGGGCGGCGGCCTGCTGCCTCGGCACCTCAGACCATGGTTTCCTCGTCTTCTTCTTGCTTCTCTGAGGGAAGAGTCTTGGCATGAAGCACGCGGGCTGGATGCAGACGGAGGAAGGCTCGATGCAGGCTGGTTGAACGCAAAATGCACCGGCTGCCCGTTTGGAAGGATCGGAATCGAGCGATGAGGTCTTGATGAGAGTTGGGGAGACGGCACACCTCAAAGAAAGATCAAAGTCGGAAAGCATTATGTGCCCGTCGTCACGAACAAGTACGTTTTCTGGTTTCAGATCTCTGTATACCACACCCAACATGTGTAAATACTCGAGAGCAAGTAGTACTTCCGCAGCATAAAATCTGTCCATTGATGAAAGAAAACATATCCAAAATGTCAATAATATGATGCATGAGTCCAAACAAATATACTGTTAGTATGATTACAGCATCGCCCCTTTCAGTAAGACTTCTATTCTCAGAAATGCTAAAGCACAACGATAGGATCTCAAGTTTATGTTTTGTTTAGTAATACCATTTTGTTGAACATGAAATATGTTGACAAAGCTTCAGAAAGGACTCAACATGGCTTATATATATATATTGACCAGAAAAAATTATAACAGTATCATATGCAATGATATTGCTCAACATATATCAAGGATCCTTTTCAAAAGCTTTCTTTTCCTATGTAGCTCTCCTACAAATCTCGTGTGAGGATTCTAAGTATAATCTTCAAATGCAATACTAACTGACAATGGATACAATAGTGGAAAGAAGTCTAGCACAAGCGGATGCACAATCAAACATAGATGCAAGTGTAGCCTAAAATACACGGCACTTTTCAACTGAAAAGTAGAAAGCCCATGTAAGATTGTCTTAAGACTTTCTATTAGGTTTCATTTTTTTTTACTGCAAAAGGATGTACATAGTGGGGAACCAGAAAGCAAGTAGCGAGCCATTAGCATCAGGCTTGTAAGAGAATGAAGATCACTTTCTTGTTGATCCAAGTTGTATCAGTTAAGTTCAGAAGAGATATATTTACCATCAGAACTACTATAATCTTAAAAGGATATCTTCAATTTCATGTATTACAACATAAAGAAACAATGAACATTGTCATATTTCTTAATTTTCACCTCAAATTCATAGTGACGTTTTAAAATGAGGCAATATCAAGAAGCCTTATTACCTTGGACAAGTGTCATGTATAATAACCCTAATTTGATCATATTAAATATGAATACTTGGTGCCAACTTGAGTTCAGATTCTAATAAGCCAGGTTGTTAAGTGTTCAACTTTGTTGAGCATGGGAGAGTTGACACTGTTCAGTCACTATCCTATTGTTATAGGTTCTATCAGAAACTGTCATTTTTCAGCAAAAGAATGTATAATTTGAATGATCCCCATTATTAGATGCCCTTATGCAGATCAAAATATTGTGAAGCAACTACCTCATAAGAACTGATTCATTGTGTTGAGATGTTTTAGTAAAAAACTTAGAATTACACAATAGAATCTGCTTTTTTTTTTTTTTTTGTCGAACTTATCAGTTTGACATTGACTATACTTCCTAACTAGTATTGAGCGCTTCTAAAAAAACTTGCACAAACATGGCAACCTCTGAAATTACTTCTATCATGATAAAGCCTTCGAGGAAAATTATGTCTAAAAAAGCATTAGTTTGTAATTTCTAGAACAGGTCATAGGCAAAATTAGTTTTTCAATCATTACAGAGGCAAGAAATAAGGTAATCTCGCATAAAAAATTTGTATAAATCAAGAAGCATCAAAGTTAAATAAGAATGCCAGGGTGCAGGAACATGTGTAAAATGACAACTTTACATAAAGGATGTCATGTCATTTAAACAAAAGAAAAATACTTAAAACTATTGTTGCTTAGCACTGTTGTTTTTGTGTCATATGAAGAAAACTGAGGATCGAGTCATGTATATAGAAAGGGCATAAGCGAGTTATATTCAACTTACCAGAAAAACTAGTAATTAAACAATAGAACACTTAAAGCAACAAAAGAAAAGATCTCTGTTTTGTAATTTTTACCTTGCTGCATACTCAGAAAAGTGCTTCCCTGGCTGGCGTTGCCTCAATGTATGCAAATCACCACCAGGGCAAAATTCCATGACCAAGCATGAAAATCTATCAGTCTCAAAATGTGTATACAGAGTTGGTAAGAATGGGTGATCCAGAAGTTGAAGAATCTCCCTTTCCGTTTGGGCCCTGGTCAGCTTCTTCCTGCTTGCAAGAGAAGCCTTGTCCATCACCTTCATAGCAAAGTAGCACCTTGTGCCACTCAATTCTGAAAGATAAACACTACCAATATCACCACATCCAAGCCGTTTGAGCAGTCGAAAGTGACTCATACCCAGTATACCATCCCGAGCCCGAACCGCAAGAATAGCCTTCCATCTAGGGTCATTTCCCTTGTGAGGCTTGTTAGCACTTCCACTAAGATTACTCCAGCTGCTATCATCACTAAGACCGCTGCTATCACTAGCTCTACTGTTGCTGGTTTTAGTGCTTTCAAGCGAGTCGAGTATCATACTTCCCTTAGCACTTCCGCAGGCCCCTCCCATGGTGCCATCACTAGTGACTCCTTCACTTCTATATGTGCTCGTGCAACTGTTTACAATGCTCATGGCAGTTACCACACCAGTGCTGTCAATGCTACTGTGAGGACTGACATTGCCGCTCGGGGGAAGGGAAGCATCCCAAACACACTCCTTTTCTTCAGAATCTGGTGCTAAATATGTTGCCTCCATTGTGTGTGATGCACGCGGAATAGAAAACGGAGAAGATACAGCACCTGGCTCGTTTGGCTCGACACTCTCACCTCTTGATGCAAGGGCTGTATTTGGCTTTGGTGCAGGAAGCTGTACAGAGAGATCTTCAGTGAAAGGACCTTTTACTGAGAGGCCTCTCATTAAGCAACGCGTATCAGACTTGTCTTGCTCTATCGCCACATATACCGTCGTCACGAGATCACTATCTACGGGCTCTGGAGGATGACTTGCCCCATTGAAAGAACTTCTGCCTTCTTCAAAGGAATCCATGCTCCTGAAGCTATCAACCTCAGGGGCTAATTCATTATGCTCTCCCAACATGTCTTTCCCTTTCAGTGAACTTACAAGTACAGGGGCATCCAAAATTTGAGATTTGAAAGAAGTGGGTGGACCTCGTTCACTTCTCAAGCTGCTTGTGTGCACACCCGGTCCCTTATCAAATGGAGGAAGCTGCGGGGACAACATCTTCAACTCAGGAATCTTATCCATCATAAGCGGACCTTATCGTCGCCTCTGTTCCAAACAATTATATGATTCCTTCAATACCACAAGTTGGGAACTTTTACTTCTATAGAGCAATCCAAATGAAAAAGACTTCGCTGCGAGATGGCATGTCCCGTCTTCTCCCTCCCAAATTATGAATCAAGAATACCCGTCTTTTTTATGCTACAATTGCTAGAGCAGGCGATTCAAGACTTGAAGCTGAACTGAGGACTCCCCTTTCTCTTCTTTCCAGGAACCTAACATCCCCCAAAAAGAGCACTGATTAGAACAAACCGGAGCTGTTGATCTGCATCCCCAAATCAAAGCAGTACAGACAAGATCTTGCAGAAGGAGCTATTCCTGCAGATCACGATTCTACTTGGTACTGAATACCATCACTGGCCAAAAAAACAATGAAACCAAATAAAAAAAGCGTACGAAATCGTTCGTTCCAACCACTACAGTGGCGAACCACAACCTAACCAAACCTTTCAAATCTCAGTGCACCTTCTCATTTGAAGTCAAAATAGAGAGAGAAAGTCCCAAATGAAAAAATCATGACGATTGCAAGAAAAATAAAAAGGCCTTAACCCGCACATTCGATCTTTACATAAACGCTTCGAGGAGTAGAAATCGTAACCCCGAAAAGAAAAACGAGAAGCGATCTACGTCACAGACCGGAACAGAATCAGGCGATCGCGCACCATCAAGAGGAGGCGGATCTAGTCCAGTGAAGGATTCAGAAAAGGGTTTCTTGAGCTCGATGTTAGGGTTTCCTTACCCTCTTCTCCGAGGAAAGCAAGAGAGAGAAACAGTGGCAGAGGCAGCAGTGGGAAGAACTGAAAAGAGCAGCAACGGATTTCTCTGTTTCGCCGTCCCGCTTTAACTTTAGCGTCCCGGCAGTGGGTCCCACCGAGATTACCCAATCGCGTGCGCTACCCGGTACGAGGCACCGGGTGGGAGAGCGGGCAATCAGGGTGGCTTGCGTCAACCAATCGACGACTTACATTACACGGTGGGTCGATCCGACGGCCAACGATAACCTGGCCGACGGGTGGGACCCGACTTGCTCCCTCGTCCGGCGACACCAACCCACCTGCCGCGTCGCCACCCGCACCAACGCGGACACCAACCCACGCGCGCGATCACCGTCCGACGTCCTTGACCGCGTCGGTTCTTGGTGAGATCTCGACCGCCCATCTTTCGTGGTGGGACCATCGTGTCGGCTAATGATGCGACGTTATAGCAGTCATATAATTGTCCGCAGCGATCACAAAAAGTAATTATCAATTGAAATAAAAACATTACAACGATAATTGCATTTGTTTTTAGATGGACGTATAGAATGATTCGCGTAACCCAATGGGTAATCTTGATCCGATCCGACCCGAATCGGAGAACGTAACACAATAAGAACATTACATTCATTGTAACAGTGATAAAAGGGGATGTGACGTTTAATTAGAGAGGCTTAGAAATAAGAAGGTGTCAAACAATATATGGATATTATTCACATCAAAAGCATGTTTAATTAGAGAAAATTAAGGACACATAATTATATGTAATACCAAATTAAAAATATAACAAGCCAAGTCATTACTTAGTGGTCACCCAAATTTAGGCAGTGAGGCCAACTTTTTTGTCCACCAGATGTTACCAGTCTCCCAGCAATAATTGATGGTCAAGTTGACCATGAAAGCCACATTGTGACATGTTTGACCCATCTTTTTTCTTTGTTGCTGGTATAATTTTGTCTCTTCCTCTCCAATATGATCCACTCATGGCACCCTCTGCTCCTGTGAGTTGCATGCTGATGTTGTTGACACTATCAATTCTAGGAGAAGAAGAACAAGGTTGCAAGTCCTAGGTTGGATCTAAGCTTCTGCTTTGGATCTTGATGGTCATTATTTCATCTTCTTTTTCTAACAAGTAATGCATGGGGATCCTCCCATTCAACCTTATTCCTTTCTTTGCACAACCTAATTCCTTGCTACTGTAGACCCAAGAAAAGAGAGAGACTGGAGTGTGGACCTCACATCTATTGATCATCTGCAACAAAGGTGAAGCAAGCAAACATGTGAATCTTGTTGGCCATTGCAATGGTGGTACTGTTTGACTGCAACAATCATGTCTTCTTCCTCTTTTCGACCAGCACTTGCAGCAGATCCTGAAGTAGCATGCCTCTGCTGCGTGCACTGGGAGTTCATGTGATGGTAGGGCGGCCATGAGAGAGATGGAACCAGCGATCCAGCCTCAGTTGCTTCTTCGGAGGGCCCATGTCCACTTTGGCCTTGCGAGGACATCGCCATTTCCCAGGGATCTCTGATGCTGCTGCGACCATGGCTTGGTGATTGGATTTGTCCCCCAGAGGACTTCTCGGAGCTCCATTCTTGTCCTCTGGCTGTTCCATTGATGACATTGATGTTGGTCTGATGACTCCACCTTCTTCTTTAGATCGTCTCCCATCTTTTTCCTGCTTCTTTTTAGTGTTGTCAACGTGCATTATATCGCTATCTTCGAACCAATTTCTCCCATCAGTCCTGTCGCAGCTCTTGTTCTGCACAAGACTTGCTGCTGCTGCTGCTGAAGTACACTCTGAACCCGAAGCAGATGAAGGCAAACAGCCTCCCTTTTCTTCAGAAAGCGTTGCGAGAAGTTCCTCACCGAGCAGCTTCTTCAGATTCAGCTTTCTCTTTGGCTGTACGTGATCAGTTTCTCCAATCCATTCTTTTTTATTCCTTCCCGTGTTCTTGTTCCTATTCGAGCAATCATTCCATTGATTTGGCAGCATCTTTAGGATGTCACTGGCTCTCGAACGATCCTTACTCTTCACAGAAACAAAGCCATCATCTTCAACCCACTGCTTTGGTGACAGCCCATTGGTATCGCTTTCTTGATGCGAGATTTGCCCATGGCAATTTGTCCTCTCGAGTATTCTCTTATCAGATGAAGCGGAGCTCTTATCGAGGCTACGATTGCCGTAGTCACTGCAAACATCATCATTTCGTCGACAAGATTTCCCTTCATCTCCCAGCAACGAATCCTGGTTGTTCTCTTTCAGCATAAAAGAACCAGCTTGTTTGCAGGACCCAAAAGATAAGCCTACGTTGTGATACGAGTTCTTCCCGTGTTTTGGGAAATCAACCAAATTGCAATCCTATAGATCAAAAAAGATGGAACAGCAACAACAGAAGTCGGATTGATGGAGGTGGAGTGAGAAATTAGCAATCCAACTGACCCCGACAAAATGATGTGATGGAGAAGTAATACCTTAGATGTAGAGGAACCGTCCACCGGTTCTTGGGTTTGGCTTTCGTCTTCCTCAAGTAGTAGAGGACTACCGAGACTATCGGGAAGACCCAAAGAATCCGGCGACTCGTAAACATAGCTAGAGAACCAGTTGCTGATGTCGGGGGGCTCTGAGAGACGGGAAAAGGATCTCAGTAGACGAGCACACGGATGCAAAACGGAGAAGAGCAGGGGAGGTGAAAGAAGACAGAGAGGACTCACGGGAGAGGAATGAGTGCGGAAGCGAACAACCTTCCCAATCCTACACAAGGATTCAGCAGATGAGGACATGGAAGGAAAAGCTTTGAGCTCAGATTCGGCCGGAGAGAGGCGCGATGTACTGTACCTGCGATTGGCGGGGATCGTGGGGAGAGAGGGCGGCGGCCTCTGCTGCGCCTTCTGGTGATTGCGCCATGGCGGCGGGAATGGAAGCCTTCTCCCCCGCGGTTTAGTGGGTTTTCTACCTCTCTTCAAAATTTCCCGCGAGGAGTTTCGCGGGAGATTTTGATTGCGCCTTTTCCGGTTCGTAAAATGGGCCGAGACTTGGAACGGCCCACGCGTTAAACCGAACTAATTCGTAATATAATAGTCATAAACGCCGTGTTAATCATATAATACTCATCCAATTAACCCTTCCTAATTTTAATATCTTCGATTAAAGAGGAATGCACTTGATTCGACAAATCAAACTTAGGTCAAATCGTATACAATTCTCAATCTTCATGTACATAAGGAAGAGGAGAAATCAATGAATCAAATTTGGTGCGACCGTCCGGCTCAGACGGACGGACTCACGAGGCAAGCCGGATCCTTGGACTGGACCGGGCGACGGACGTCGACCGGGTTGAGCCTTAAAGCTTGCGCCCCGCTCAGATAGACCTTCTTGATGTTGGGCCGTTGCAGCTCCAGAAGTCGGACCAGACTCCTCTTGGCGTCGGACCGGAACCCGAACCCGGTTCCCATGAACCCGTCCACCAGGTGGAGGTAGGCCTCCAGGTCGTGGCAGCAAGCGGGTCCGGCGTCCGGCCTGAGGTAGGGCGAGTCCCGGTTGTCCACCCTCAGCTCCGAACCCACGTGCTCGTACTCCTCACTGAGGTGCGGCAGCCCCGCCGCCGACGGTACCATCGTGACGACGTCCTTGTCGTTGACCACCCGCAGCACGTTGACACCCCGCCGCTTCAGCCTTTCGGCGAACGCGCGGTTCCCCACGCGCGGCCCGCCGAAGGAGACCACTGAGATGGGCGGCACCCGCGGGGCGCACGTGCTCAGCTCGTCCGCCACTAACAGTGCCAGGGCCGCCCCCAGGCTGTGGCCGGTCACCGTGATGCTGAGCTCCTCCCCCTCGTAGACCTCCATGAGGCGGCGCACTTCCTCCACCACCGCCGTCGCGAGGCTCGGCACGTGCTCCCCGGCCGTTTTGTGCAGGCTGCGGAACCCGCAAGCCACCTTCGGCACGTCTCGTTCGCCAACTTCGACAGCGGCTTCAGCTTCGGAATCCACGGGGACGAGTGCCGTGCGGAGATTCTCGGCCCACTCGAGGCAGGTGGCGGTGCCGCGGAGGACGATTGTGACGTCGCGCCGACCCATGCGACGGACCTCGCGATCGTTGTCGCAGACGGCGACGTAGCCGATACAGCTGGAGCGCTGGGTGAGCCACTGCGGAGCGGCGGGTTGCGCCCAGTCCGGGAGGTCGAGAGAGGAAGTGGCGAAGAGGGACTTGGTGGAGCGGTAGAAACGGTCAGGGAGTAGGAGGTGGCGGTGACGAGAGGAAGGCGATGCAGCGGGGAAGACGGGCGAGGGAAGGGAGTGGAAGGCGTGGTAGGCGGCCTGGACGAAGTCGCCATACCGGATGAGCTCACGGCGGAGGTTCTCATCGAGGGGGTCGAGGAGGCCCGACCAACCCGTTTCGCCGTGAATCTGGCGCCAATTGGCGGCGATGAAGTTCTTAGGGGAGGATCGCGAGCTATCGGAGAGGAGGCGCTGCAGGCGGGTCAAGCTCGGAGGGGACATTATCTCGTCGGCCGCCTGCTTCCTGAACAAATCAGGAAATAGAGAAGCCAGGTTGAACGGGTTCATCATCATCCCTCCTTTTTCGCCGGCACCGCTGCGCTGGTTGTTGGAATGCTGCTTGAGGTCAAGCTCGGGTTGAAAAGTAGGTTGCGGCGGCGAGGGTTTGAGGAGGACGCGATCGAGGTTGGCGAGATGGATCTTGGTAGCAGAGGTGGTGACCGCGGTGGTGGCGCCGCTGCTTTTGACGGACGCAGGGCGGGAGGACTGAGGGTTGAGGCAGGAGCCATGGCGAGAAGGCAAGGAGGCGCGGGAGGGAGAGACGTGGCGGGGTGGTGCCCCGGCGGCCGCAGTTCCTACGGTCATATGTATCAGAAGAACGAAAGCAGGATTTGAGTTGCCTGTGCGTCGTAGTTGATGTCGGAACAATGCGCAGCCACTTGGTCGATGGTGCAATGCAAGAACACCTAAACGTGGGGCGGCATATATATATATATACAGAGAGTTCGTGATAAATGTCAACAGTCATGGCACCGCGTTGATCAAAATAAATAGGAAGTCAACATTTTGCCTCGTGTACGTGCGTGGAACGAGTTAAAGCGACGGTTATCTTTGTATCAATCTTGCACGCCGAAGAAAAAATCTACCGACTCCAACTCAACCGACGAATCCACACGGACGGTTGTTTCGATTCAAACCTATGTTGTGTAAGTTGATTGATTTGGGTTCGGATTGCGGCCGGTGTTACGTTCAACTACCGTTTTCTTCATTGTATTACTGAAACATGTACGAACGATTCAAGTCACTGGTCATTAGCTCTCTACATGGACGGCTTGGATTCAGGCGTAGTGTTTGTGCCCCCCAGGATCTGTACTCGTATCGTCGTTGGGAGACATGGTTAGGTCACCATGGAAGTTAATTGGCACGAGGAGGCGATCAAATATGACCCAGTCGGTCAACGTATGCAAACGACGCGAGGAATTCCGTATTCGCCACGACAATCGTATGAAAAGCAGCCACGTCATCTACTGCCAATCCACACCCGTGTTTGCGTTGACCGATCAAGGGAGTGAACGCGATGGTCGGCTTCTTCCGTCGACCGTGGCATCGGACCTCCCCACGATAGCGAGCTCGATCAAAAGCTTTTATTGTGCGACCTTGAAACTTTGCTGATGATGAACAAAGTTTGCGGGCGACCAAGAAAAGATAGATTTTTGCCTACCTCGAGCCGGACTCAGACCACCAGCGGATGTTTGTGGAAGTCCAATCAAAGATGTTACAGAACATGTCAAAGTTCCAACCCGATCCAGTAGTCCTCCGCCGCCGCATCACCGCTCTATTCCGTTCTCACCTGTATTCTGGTGGAGGGCGTCGTTCATCTCTCGAACGCTCCTCTGGTCGTCGCCATATCACCACACTCGACGCATTCAGCACTGCTCCGTTACGAGTTCCTTCCGCCAGCAAATGGCATTCGACGCGACCACGTTCCGTTATGCCATTCGTCGAACAGGCGGCGGATGTCCGACTACCTGCCGGCGCATGAAGATTGGCAGAGAACGGCCGGGACGAAGCACGCACGCGTCTACATCTCGAGTGTGGTTGAAGCATATCTCATTTGCTCCGTGACACGTACTTAAAATACTGATACTCATTATTCAAGCCACCGTTGTCGAGGAAGAGCCATTTGTGCGGCCAATGGATTCGCAGGTATCGTAGGATAGCCTAAAGAGGCCGGATCAAGATTCTGTTGAGCTGCTGTCGGTGTGCAAGTAATGGTGATAGCTCTTGCGTGTGCTCGTTCACCTGTTGTCTTGGCGAGCTTCGTGTCCCTCGCGAACATATCGTTATCGTCTCGCTTCGTGTTTGATGAAATGCCTGAGCCTTTGGGCAACATGAGGTCAGTCTCGTTTCCCACTTGGATCATTTGGGCAAACAACTCCAATGTGTGATGCTATCAGGAAGGAAACAAATAGGCAGAGAACTACTTTTAAGTCAACGTTTTAGTTCATGAATTGTGGCCTGAGAAGGTAAGATTATTAATTGGAGAAACCATTTGGTATATGGTTGTTGGACGGAATACCGAATGCCATGATTTGTATACCTGTTTGGGCCCAAATTGGGGGTGCAAAGACGGCAGTCATATTAGAATAGGAGATTATCTTGCATGGTACGACTACATCAACTGCATAAAATACACCCCATAAATGCATCTATCAAATTGGTAGATATTATTAGCTGCAATCTGGCAACCCAATTGCCACTCTCATTAGTTGGGTTAGCCCAACTAATCGATGCTCGATTGCTTGACTCGCTAATGTAATCAATGCACTTCACGTCCGAGTGCGACCCAACATCACATCGAGCATGTCATATGATCATCACTGTTGTAATTATTAGCCGCCACAGTTTCAACTAACTACGTGATTCCAATTACTTCATGGCCTTTAAAGGCAAACGCTGGTGTGAAGCTCCATCCATCCAACCTCATCACCATCCTTCGTCTTGGTTTGCCTTGTGCGCCGAGAAGCCAAGATGGCCACCGATCCTTCTACGCCGAGGATGCTCCACGTCGACGCCATCCAGACGGCACCGCCGGGGAAGGTGACGGCACCGGGGCAGGCCCGGCGGATCTCCACGGCGGCGCCGCTGGGCCCGGAGGTGCTGCAGAGCCGGTTCCAGGCGGTGTGGTACTACACCAAGGCCGGGGAGGAGTCGCCGCTGGCGATCGCTGCGTGGATCAAGGAGTCGCTCTGCGCGGCGCTGCCCGGCCACCCGGTGCTCTCCGGCCGGCTCCGCCGGGACGACGGCTGGGAGGTGAAGTTCAACGACTCCGGAGTCAGGCTGGTGCAGGCCACCGCCGAGACGACCATGTCCGAGTTCTTGGCCTCCAAGGACAGGAATGGCATGGAGGCGCACTTGGCGTACTGGGACGACGTGGACGTGCAGTCTCCCAACTTCTCTGCACTCTTCTACATCCAGGTCTCCCTTTCCGGCATCCCTAAAAGAGAAAGAAGAGATGATGGCACACTAACCGTGGCTGGTGCTTGCAGGTGACTCAGTTCCAGGGAGATGGATACGCCATTGGGATAAGCTGCAGTCTGCTGCTGGCCGACCCCTTGTTCTTGACGCGCTTCCTGAACTCATGGGCCCAAACCCACGCGCAGATGCGGCTCAGCAAGTCGCCCATGTTCCACCTCAGCTACTTCCAAAGACCGGATCGCTCGCGCCATCTGAAATCGGCCGAACTCGAGTCGAGTCCGGTCCACTCTCCCTCCTCCACCACCACCATGCTATTCGAGGCCGATCGGGAAGCCATCACCCGATCCTACGGCCAACTCGCGGTGGCTTGCCTCCGGGAGGCGACGAGGAGGCTCGACGTGGAGGCGGCGCCAGAGTTCTGCCTCCTGATCAGCGATCACGGGGGCGAGTTAGCGGTCGAGCCATGTGCGAACCCGAGCGAGGGTTCGTCGGGCGAGGCCTTGGATGTGGTTTGGTGGGACCAACTCGGCGTCGAGGAATGGACTCTCGTGCAGGGGAATAAACCCGTACACGTGTCGTGCCGGATCGCGTCGCCTGGAGACGGGCGACTTGTGGTGGTGATGATACCGCCTGATGTGGAGGGTGATCCAAAAGTGGTGGTCAGTGTCACGCTGCCCGACAATTGAAGGGTTCAAAGATGAAATGAACTGCTTTGGTTATATGTTGTGGAATAACTATGAGGAGTGATGAGTTACTTTGAGTGCTATTAAGTATAATGTGAGCTCTTTAATATGTTAATATGCAAATTATAATTGGTTTAAGATGGGAAACACTTGGTGTTTGGTACACAATCTCACCTAATATTGGAAACGCTGGAACAACACCTCACATTGCAAGAATCACAAGCCACAGGTTTCCTAAGATTACCTTCCGGCCGACAGTCCACAGGCAGCCTGGACTCAGCATTGAATTGGCCAAACCCACACCCCACACATGGAGGACAGAGCATGAAGCATACAAGAAAATGTTAGATTAATGGTACTGTGGTATGAAGTGCAAGACATTGCCGGACTCATGAGTTTCTTTCAATCCATGTATAATTGAGAGGGTTAAAAGGAGGGGGGGTTTAGGACCTGACACTCTGTTCAAAACATTACAGGAAGAACCACAGGATGAAGAAGCTGCTTGTTATTGGTAGGGTCGACTAATCATCTGATGTCTGTCCGAAGGAAGAGAAGAAGGATTTAGTAATATTGAATGAGATGGAGACTCTGAAAGGAAGAGCTGCAATGTGGGATTTGTTGGGGGAAGAGGAAGAGGCTATCTTGTAGGAGCTGCAACCTGAGGAAGCCTGACAGAATGCACTGTGAAGAGTAGCTTGGAAGAATGAGTCACATGGAAATAATAATGCTGTCATACTGTTTCTCTCTCCAGCTTTTATAAATATTTAGGAGGAGATTTGTCTTCCTCTGCAAGGTTTTGGATGACTTCAGTGTCCAATTAAGCATAGACAAGTATAGCTACATTACAGGACAAGAAAACTGAAGTGACAGCCACACAAAGTACAGACCACCACATTTTGACTTCTGCTGCTGCAGATTTTACTCCATACAAGGAAACTAAAAGAAAAACTTGAAACATTTAGACATGACTTGATAAATTTATTCCATTGTAGCAAGGGAGAGAAGAAATCGATCAAAAAGAAAAATTCATCAGATTAATAATCAAAAGTATATTAAAAATTAATATAATATTTAATATAATTTAATAAAGTTTATTTATATTTATAAAATAAAATAAAATTTTAATATATAAGATTAATTACAATACCTTAAGTTATCCTTACTAAAGTAGGAACCCTTACCCTCTATGTATTTCTTATAGGAACAAATTATAATTCACTAATAAGTTTCAATTTAATGAACTCTATCAACTAATTTGAACATGATTAGAAATTTTAAAACTATTTACCAACTCTAATAATCTTCTGGTGAGTTTTTTTTTACTTTATGCCTTTTAGAAAAATTGAACTATTGACTTTGGAGAGAAATTACCATCCGAATTAATTTATGGTCCAATATTTGATCCCAAAAGACATAACAATGCATCATATATAGTTAGGAATTAAATTAATATGACTATTTGATTTTGGAGAGAAATATCAATATTACCATCTTACTACGAATAGGATTTTTTTTTTCTTATAATTTTCTATATCATAAATATCACCTTTTTGTATCGTGAACAAAACTTTCTTTCAAATGATACAATTCTTGATATAATATTTGGTAACTTTTAAGACTCCACCTCTAGCCTTCTAGTCATTATCCTAAAAATCCAAAAGTCTTTAAAAGAAATTATACTCTTTCACATCTTTGTAACATAAGTCATATATTTCTAAGTATGCATCACTCTATTAATCGTTTTTATTTTTACTTTACCAATACTCATAGCCTTCATTATAGAGTCATCACCCAAACTCAATTTACTAGTCATCTTGTCCTTTGGTGAATCAATATAATTATTTTGAGAGCAAACATAAGTAACACAAGTAGAATCTAAAAACCAACACTTCTAGAAACATGTATCATTACCTTTTGAGGATTGTAAGGACATCTCTATCACCATGCATCACAAGAGAGTACTCACCAGCCTCTTATTTCTATTTCTTTTTAGATAATTTTGTCTGGTATATTTATACTATTTACATTTATATTACTGAACATCATTCAAAGACTTGACTCTTGATTTAGACCTATCACGTTGATATCTACTATGTTAGAAATTCCTCCTCGTCGAACCTCATCCTAAGTAGCTAATGCCCCACAATCAATATTCTCATATTTATCATTTTTCTAATAGCATTGTATACTAAGGTTTCTTCAACTTATTCCAAAGTTACTTTATCATTTTTACACGATATAATATCTATACAGTTGTCATGAGAAAAAACAACAATGGCCTACATTTTTCATCAATTTTTACATCAATTTTCTTTGGTTGATCCAATATTTCTTTGAATATATTAAAATATATAACTAAGTCTCAAAATTCCTCTATCTTTAATCTATATAATTTTTATTTTAGATATAACTTGTTAGTTAAGCTTTTAGTAGATAAAACTTTTTAAACTTATCTCAAATAATCATGATGGAATTATCAGTAATAATATTATTAATCTTATCAGTGATACAAAGATAAATAGTACTCATGCCCTTTGTCTCGAGCTTCTCTTAATCTTCATTGCTTATTTTTTTTTGTTTGCTTGCTCATCCTTTTAATATTTTTGTTAGGTCTTTTGAACAAAAAGTTCCTTCTCTGTCATGTGGTAAAACTTTTTTTTAAAATTAAATTTCTTTACAGTAAAAATAATAAAAATAACTGATGACATCCTTATTGAATATCTAATTATTGAATTTTTTTTTTTACTATAATACCATTTTGTTGGGGGAGGAAGAGATAAATCAAAGACCAAAAGAGAAATCCACTAGAGATCAACAATCAAAAGCAAAAAACTGAAGCAAGATTTAATATGATTCAACAAGTTTCATTTATATTCATAAGGAAAACTATTTTTTAATATATGATATTAATTACAACTATCCTTATACATTCTCCTACGTAAACCTAACTTTTTTTCTTTAAATTCTCTTTAAAAATCTTAGAAATCTCCATCATGAGCACCCAAAATACCTTGACTCTCTCTCACCGAAACCGGTATATTTATAGGAACAAACCTTAATTTATTAAAAGATTTTAATTTAATTAAAATTCTCAAGTAATTTAAATATAATTAAGACTTCTAAAATTATAGCTTATACAAACTTAATATAGCTTACTCTACATATAGAAACAGATAATGCAAAAGGTTTTAAAAAAGACACCATATGATTTGTTAAAGTAAGATATCTATTGATCTTACTATTACTACTTTTATCTTTCTACAAATTGGCATAACAGCAAAAGACAGGGCCAACTCATCCTTACAAGGCTAGCCTACTGTGTCATACCAGCCTTGACATCATAATGTTGTGACCCTATGAATTCTACAGTTATTCCACAGGAATTGATTGCTGTTGGCTTCTGTCAAGCAGATCAAATTCAAAACCTATAATTAATTATGTTTACTTTAGAGTTTGTGTGAACACCCTAAGTGGTCATCAATGTTAACCATGCCAATTTAGTCTTCTTTTCAAAAAAGAAGTGACTCAAATATTGGCACTTGATATCTTCATATATTGAATTTGATGGGTGTCTGAAATTATTGTAAGACTTGGTTAATTACAGTGCCAAGATAGAGGGTTTAGGAAGAAACCCATGGCATTGAAGAAGGGTATCCCACCAATATAAAACATGCAATGTGCATGCATCTGCAACTTGTGCATTGCCAGCTGAGGTGGAGGCAGATGACAGATTGACCATTGTGCTGTAACCTGCTGTCCTGTAGCTCAACCCTAAATTTCCAAACCTATCCATTCCCTGTTGATTTGATGTGACTGGGAGCACCTTTTCCTATCTTTCTTGGCTAATGAGAAAACTGGGGAAAGGGAAACGAAGCCAGGAGATCAACCACCTCTGTTGGAGTCATTTACTTGGAACCTTCTCTCCAATGTGTTTCATGTTGGCTGATTCTGATTTCAGTGGCCATTAGTGGTGAAGTTGAACCTATCAAAGACTTTAAGATGCCTTCATTTGCTAGATTTACTTTTTAGATCAAGCAAAAAGATACATTGTTGTAAATGACTTCCAAGTCGTCTGTCTGTCTGTCCATCATAAATCCATGGGTGATAACACTTGATTCTTACTGCAGAGGCTGTTTCCATGGTGAGTTGACAAGGCTAGCAAATCCAATGCATCAACCATGGTGTGATGGATTCATAATCCAAATAAGATTCTCTCTCTCTCTGTCTCTCTATATCTCTCGATATATGTATATTAGATTGGGCCTCTCTGTCTCCAATTACCAGCTCTTGAGAGAGACGGTCCAATGGCGGGGATGGTGGAGGAGAACCATGCAGTGCCGGGAGTGGTCTCCGTCCTCTCCACCATCCTCGAAAGGCTCGCGGAGCGCAACGACGCCGTCCGCGGCCGCCCTGTGGCGCCGCACCACCGCGCCTCGGCCTTCCACGGGTTGACGAAGCCGTCCATCTCGGTGCGCAGCTACCTCGAGCGCATCTTCCGGTACGCCGGCTGCAGCCTCTCGTGCTACGTCGCCGCTTACATATACCTCGACCGCTTCCTACGGCGCCACCCTGCCGTCTCCCTCCACTCGCTCAACGTCCACCGCTTCCTCATCACCAGCGTCCTCGCCGCCGTCAAATTCGTGGATGACATGTAAGCAACGGAAGTGGTGTCGTCTCATTTTCTTTCTTGTAGGAGCTGTAGATCCTCTCTCTCTCTCTCTCTCTCTCTCTCTCTCTCTCTCTCTCAATATATGTGTGTGTGCAGACACTACAACAACGCATACTTTGCAAAGGTGGGGGGGATCAACTTGGTGGAGATGAACTACTTGGAAGTCGATTTCTTATTCGGCATAGGCTTCGAGCTTAACATAACTCCGGTCATGTTCACCTCTTACTGCTCCATTCTTCAGAGGGAAATGTACTTGGAACCACCTCCATCTCCCCCAAGGCTTCACAGCTGTTCGACAGAGGAAGACCCCAGCAGCGGCTGCCAGCAGAAGCAAGTAGCAGTTCATTTGGTCTTTTCCGGCACATAGTTAAGCACGAATCAGTGGGTCAAACAAATGATACCACTCCTTCTTCACTTCTTCTCTCCCTGTATTCCAACCGCCTGTACATAATTTTCTTTTCGGATGTAGAACGATTCAGTAATTAAGCTGCTAATTTAGATTCATGGTTGGCATCCATGATGTGTTCTTCAGGTCCATGTTAGATTGTGCCATCCACTATCTACAAGGGTAATAGTTGTGAGATTCGGGATGGAGCTATCATCTCTTCCATATGGAGGAAAGAACTAAACTATGCGGAGATGGTTATTACAACAATTGCTATTTTGTATGTGAAGATATCAGCTTTCTCCCACAAGAGCTGTGTATCAAAAGTTAGAAGCTGGCCATGTGAGCCTCCTCCATCATGTCTTCCCCACATGGCATGATATATATATATATATATATATATATATATATATATATATATTGGAAAGACTATGGTTCTGTGGCTCAGAAGTCCAAATCAAAACGATGGTGGTAAGGTGTATGAAGTTGTTCTCATATAATTTTCTGTGAGGAGGCATATGTGAATCTAAATTAGATCATCTGATTGGGATACATACTTCTACACTTCCTTAACAGCAGTTGTAATCCCAGTACTGCGGCGGCCGTCCACCACGGAAGCTCCATCCACCACCACCACCTGAATCAAAGTCACCACCCGGTCCTCCATATCTACCACCACTTGCACCGAAGCCATCACCCGGTCCTCCATAGCCACCACCACCAGCACCGAAGCCATCACCCCGTCCTCCATAGCCACCACCACCTTCACCGAAGCCACCATGCCATCCTCCATAGCCACCACCACCACCACCACCACCTTCACCGAAGCCACCATGCCATCCTCCATAGCCACCACCACCACCACCACCTTCACCGAAGCCACCATGAGATCCTCCATAGCCGCCACCACCCGATCCTCCGTACCCAACCCCATACCCATAATTTCCTCTCTCCGGTTCGCTGCCGCTGCTGCCGGCACCGAATCCATAACCCGACGACGATCCCGATCCAGTTCCATACCCGAATCCGAAGCCCTTCCCGTTGCCGGTTGGAGTTTGGCTATAGCCCGAGCCATAGCCCCACCCTCCCCTGGGGCTTGACCCCCACGCCCAACCGTAGTCCCAGCTGCCACCGGGGCCGGAGCCATGGCCAGAGCCACTGCTGCCATCATGTGCACCTCCACCACCACCACCGGGTTGGTCTTCGCTGGTTGCACCTCCCGTCCTGTCAGCGAAAGAGTGAGCAAACCATGGCAAGGCAAGCAACAAGAAAAGAAAGAGGGTCGTCATTTGAAGCTGCTGCTCCTGGACTTGCGTGTAGATCTCCTTGCTAATGTTGTTTCCTTTAATGTGTGGGGTATTTATAAGTGGATGTGTGAATCATATGACACTTCGGATCCTTGAGATATTGCGTCGAAAAGTTGTGGGCGGGCTCTCAAATCGTCAACCTCCCACCACCGCCACCTTATCAGGTCGGAGACGATGTTCCCAGCGTGATGTTTCCAATGCTACTTTACTTGGATGACCAGACTTGCCCTCAAAGGTGATGGTGTCTTGGTGCTGTGGCGGTGCTTAAAAGCTTGCACGTTGTAATAGACAATCCTTGTTTGACTCTCGTCACTCGTCGACGTCGACATCCACTTCCCTCTGTCACCGTGTGCATTTAAATCCTCAAGCTTCGATGAAATTGACATCTGCAACCTTCGCCCAACATGATTCAGGACTCATCTCTTTACCTACGAAGAACTTGTGATACAGCAAATATTACTGAAATATGTGTAGATTTATGTCAGAGGGTGTGAGCAGTCTCCAAGAAAGGAGGAGCCGAGCATCTCGCTGATTTCCACTGCGTGCGGAACGCTTGTGACCAGCCCCGACGCTCGCATGCACCCTCGGCTTTCTTCGCATTTGCTTGCAGTCGACACGTTACGCCTATGCCTCAACAACTGGCAGCCATGCCGAAGAAAGATGTCTCCTGCAAAGCAGTCTCTTCGATCGATCGATCGATGGTCCATTGCGCCACAACACGCCATGCCGGGGGAGAAGAGACAAGTGCATGCATGAGATGCCGGTTGTCAACGTATTTGTCGCACGTTGGTAACATCATCAATGGGTTATGTTTCAGACACGACAGGTTGCAGATCCATTAATTTATTACAAATGGAGGTTGCCAAGACACGATAATTTACCTTAGAAACAAGCAACGGTAGCATTTAACAGACGAAATAGAGCCATTACATGAGAAAAAAGGGAGACACGAACTGCAGGTAGAAGGGTTTTAGGGTTGGCATCGTTGTTCACGTCCATTATTACAGATGGGAGAGCATGTTGTGATCACTGGGTGGCCTGGTCGATGCGCTGCTGCGCCGACTCCTTAATGTCGCGAGCCTTGGAGGCGAGGCGTTGCCGGGCCTGGTCGAGCTGGTCGGCTCCCGGCGGGTGCTTCCCCGTCAGGTACTTGTACATCCACGACAGCACCGAGAGGGCCGCCAGGCCGAAGCCCCCGGAGGTGAGAAAGCCGGTGGCAACCAGGAAGACGGCGATCGCGGCGGGGACGAGCACCGGGCTGAAGATGACCAGCAGCGGCGTCGCCACCGTCAGGCCGATGACTGTCACCGCCAGCGTCAGCCCGGACAGAACCAGCATCGACCCTCCCGCCATCGCTGCCGTCACCGCCTTCACCACCGTATGCGACATCGGCTGCTGCTGCTGCTGCATCTGCATCTGCTGCGGCGGCCGGTCTCTGATATACTCTGCCATCTCAAGCGATCAAGAGGAGATGATAACCTTCAGTATGCTTCTTCAGTTTGCTTCTGTGAGAGGATGAGGGCGAGAACAGGGGTTAATATAGTGGGGAGCGTACGTGACGCGTGCCCGGGATTCCTGATGAGAGCTGGTGTGCATGGGGCAAGGGGGTGACGCGTGGGCGGCAGCCTTGGCTTACATGGAGCGATACAAGCGAGGCGAGCCAAAGGTCGAAGATGATGGTGGGTACGCGGCCGAGGTCTCGCCTTGATCTGCTACGGGTTGAGCTCGGTCTTGTTGATTGAGCTTAGCGAATGATGGGCTCAACAGGCTCTCGAGAAGCGGTCTAAACTGGGCCGAATTGGGCTTTGACATTAGAAAAAGTCTTCGAGCAGCATCTAAGACCATGCACACGCCCTAGATTCTGGAATCTATCCTGCAGTTGGAGAGTCAAAGAAGCTATGAGGTCACAAGATCTCACGCTTAGTCTTCCGCCGCCTCTTCTTCCTCGTGTGCCTGAAGTGGTAATCTTCAGAAACTAACAGTTCGATGGCTTGGGACCATGTCTATCTTGTTTGACCGAGGTAGTATACTCATGCTAAGTTGTTCCACACCATCCAAGTTGCTAACTCGATGCATGTCTATCTTCTGTTTCCCCATTTTATTGGGTTTTAGGACAAAGAACAATCTTAACAGGTAGCTTAGATCTCATTTGGAACAACCAATGTTATGAAACAATCCAATCGAATTAGTTCAAGATTTGCACATCTTTCGTTTAGATTTACTCTTATTGATTATATCCTCCGCACACAAACACAAATCCTCCGCTCTTACATACATTTTTTCCTATTCGAGACAGTAACAGTACTGCTTCTTCCACTATCTTTCTTACTGCCATTCTTCTTTCAACTCACGAAGACATGGGAGACGATACTCAGTTGTCCGACCGGACCAACCGAGCGAATTCCGGTTCGGTTCACGAATTGCGAACCGGCCTGCGACTGAACTGATTCCGACACCGAGCCTTCTGTGAAGGAGACCGAGGGCGGGAGAGAAGACGATGTGATGGCCGCCTCCGTCTCTTTCTTCCTCCTCTTGGGCGAGGCCTTCTCTGAAGGAGACCGAGAGGAGGAGGAGGAGGAGGAGGAGGAGGATAGTGATGAAGAAGGTGAAGCAGGCTCCGGCGCAGACCGCTTCGACGGCGCCGCCACCGCTGGGGACATCGGTTCTGAGGTCTCCTCCGACCCGATCTGTAACGGGAAATTGAGCAGAGCGCGGGAGCCGCGCATCCGGTAGGCGGCGCGGTCGTAGGCGAGAGCGGCGTCCACCGCGGTGTCGAACGTCCCCAGCCATACCCTGGCCCCTTTCTTGGCCGGGTCGCGTATCTCCGCCGCGAACTTCCCCCAGGGCCGCCGCCTCACTCCCCGGTAATGCCTCTCCTCCGCCGGTAAGGGATCGACAGACGAGGGCGTCCATCCGTCGTTCCGCTGATCTTCGAATCTGGAGCTCCGGTGGCGGGTCGGCGCGCGAGGTAAGTTGGCCGCGGAAGAGCTGAGCTCGCAGGGGTGAGGCTCGGGGTCGTCGAGGAGGTACCGGCGGACGTACTCGAGGAGGGCAACGTCGGTCTCGGGGATGCACATCTGGGCGGGAGTGTAGGATCGAAGAGTGACTGCGAGTTGGGAGAATAGACGGCGATCGAAGGCGGCTTTTAAGGGTGGGGAGAACGGAGAACGCCTCGTGCTTCTTTGAAGCTTCCTTCTTGTGTTTGGCACGTGCGTAATGTACCAAATTGGAGCTAATTTATTTAATATTTCTTGTTGTATTGCTCATATAAATCCACACGCAATACTCTATTTTTATCCTTTCGTAAGTAAATACACTCTTATTTTTTGGATTTTTATTAGGTAAATAATATAGAATTACATTAATAATTCCTTGCTTTATCCCATTTCTTACTGGAATCTATCTGCTCCAAAAATAATGCAAAATCACAAATTGCCAGAGAATATATATATATATATATATATATATATATATATATATATATATATATATATCCCATTGCATCCGAGAATAAAAAATTAGCCGCAGATGATAGAAGAGATGTCAACATGAGTAATGAGTGTAAAGAAGATTATCTCCTAAACTCCGAACAATCCTCTCTCCACTGAGTTTGTCACAGTGTAGTTTATTATGGTGGGGGCTATGGTTGACCTTGAAAGGACAAGATTGTAGTTAGGGCGGAGGGGTTGGTGGACCAAGGAAAGGTTCCGTTGACTGGTCTTGCGCATATATGACTTTGACCATTGACCTCACTTCCCTTCTTGCTTGTGGTAGTTTCCTCGTTGTTTCCTTATTCGATCACGAGGCGAGACTACAATGTTTGGATAAAGAAGCCGCAAGATTTGCTTAAAGGATGAGAGAGAGAGAGAGAGAGAGAGAGAGAAATGTGAGGATGTATCTGTGGGATACCGTATGTGACCCCACATGACATGGATGAGGTTGCGGGGAACGGTCAACTTGTTTGACTCCATTATTGTCCGACCTTGGAGACCATCTCGGTGGAACGCTGGGGTGCTCAAATGCATTGCATCGGACAAGAGGGTTCATCTCGTATGAGACGACATCTTTGGCTTTGTCTCGGTCGACCCAAACAAAAACAAATAAGAGACTATATTCGTACTCTTTCTACCACCCCACAAACTGATGGCTCCCATGCACTCCATTCAAACACCTTCTGCCCCCAGTTTCCTTCTTGATTTCCTTGGTGTTAGAAATCAGAAGACAGAAATCTTAGTATTTTGATAGAGCTCATAGAATCAAACGTCGAGATCGAATGATATGACATTATTATGTTTGATATCGTTGATTTTGTGGGAGATATATGAGAGGAGATATATCGTAAGAAAACCCGTATAATGCAAAGTTGGTTCGAAGTAGTTGACTAAGAAACTGAGGTTTCCATCCCAAAATTGCATGCATCGCCACTTCACAAGCTCAAAGAACCAATGGATGAGTGGGATGCGATGAAGAAACAGCATGAACTAGAGAGATGAGACGATCCTTAACCCCATAATTGACCTATGAGTGAAAACTCTAACCAAAGACTTCCATTTCATAACTCGAATCAAACTTCACGATAAGACTGTTTCTGGCCACAACTGTGAACCCTTGAGAGAGAGAGAGAGAGAGACGGCAAACTCTTGTCAGTTTCCTCTTGTAGGGTTATCGATTCTGAGATACAATGCTATCTCACATCTCTATCCATTGCCGGCTAGGTTTTGTTCTCATCTAGAAGGCAGATGAACTGAGAAACCGAACAAATACGCATCATCTTCTTCATAGACTCAGCTGACAAGTTCTTCTGAGAAAGACTTGGTTGGGTTAGGTAGCATGCATCAACACAAACTCCACCTCCTTGTTTGTTCTTGAGCCAAGTCAAGAGTGCTTAAAGATTCTTTGAACTGATGCACCTCTAAGCAGCAGATAAACGCCATGTTTTGTGGCCATTTTGATCTTTAATTAACCTCTCTACTTCCTTGCTTGTCGAATTCTTGAATTCTTGTGGATATATATCCATAAGAATTAGGTTATCCTTTATTCTAATAATACTTACCAATCTCACCTGTGCAGTGAAACTTACCATCACTTCCGATTACTGTGAAGAAGGAGCACAATAAATAGGA